ACACAGACTATTTTCTTTAAAGTCCCTGTTTTTGCCTCTGTCCATTAGCGTCTGTCTCACTTTGACAAAAATGTTATTGTCTGTATATTAAACATGTAAGAATAACCTTTCTGAGAACACCAAGATCATGACAGGATAATTTCATATGGTTCAAGAACAGTAACCGTTATGGAGTACGCTCCCACCAACTGAGAGTTTTGTGGTTTAAGGGTTGAAACACTCAGATTGGCTAACACCTGATGCACCTGGCCGTTTACTGACTTATGTATCACAAACAGTAGTAGAAAGGAAAATGCAGTCACTACAATCACAGAACAAATTTCAATTTGTCTATCATATAATTTGAGCATAAAAACATTTCTAAAAGTTAAAAATCATGTTGCTGTGATAATAAAAACAATAATAAAGTTAAAGTGGTGTGGCTGACATACATGTGTACTACTGATGCCCTCCAAAAGCAGCCGTGTAACTTCTGCTTGGCGGTCAAACTCTGTTTGCGCCACTCTGAGTTCATGCTCGGCCTGAAACAAAAAGAAAAAGATTAGCGACACACTAGTTAAAAGTGTTAAAACTAAAAAATGTCTGTGTGGATGCAGTCTTCTTCAAAGTTTATAACCAGAACATATACTCACTTTTTCCACTTCCTCACTCCATAGCTGAGAGGCCAAAGCATTTAACAAAAGAAGAGAAATATATACGAGTTATGACAAGGATTTATCAGCTCTTTATTAGTGTGACATTCAACTAGTGCTTACAATTATTACTAAATGATAAAACCAATGTATATACAAACCCAACTCAGAAAAAGTTGGGACAGTATGGAAAATGCAAATAAAAAAGACAGCAGAGATTTCTAAATCTCTTTTGTCATCATGGATTGTTGCAAAAGCAGCATCCAGGAAAGGCCTAGTCCTTTAGGAGCTGGGCCAAGGATCACCAGTTTGCCATTTAAAATTATTGAAATGTTTAAAACCAGTGTTCCTCAAATAAAGACAGGAAGGGATTTGGATATTTCATCCTCTACAGTGCATAACATTATTAAAAGATTCAAAGAATCTGGAGAAAATCAGTGCATAAAGGGCAAGGGCACAAGCCTAAGCTGAATAACTGTGCTCTCCGATCCCTCAGACGACACTGCATCAAGAGCCGTCATTCATCTATAAGCGATATAACCAAACCTTTGTCAAGCACTACAATACATAGATACATCCACAAATGCCAGTTAAAAGTTTACTGTGCCAAAAGGAAGACTTATGTTAACCGTTTCCAGAAGCACTGTCGATTTCTCTGGGCTCAAAGGCATCTGGGATGAACCATACACAGTGGAAACATGTGTTGTGGTCAGATGAGTCAGTATTTCAGGTTCGTAAAGAAATGGACGCTGTGTGCTCCAGACTAACGATGACAAGGACCATCCCGAGTGTTATCAGCAACAAGTCCAAAAGTCAAGGTGTGTCATGGTATGGGGTTGTGTCACTGTCCCAACTTTTTCTGATTTGGGGTTGTTATATAGTCCTGCAGAGTGCTAAAAAAAATCTTGTTCCTGCTTTATAACTTTTCACATCACACAATAAAAAAAAACCTAGATTAGATGAGTGAATGAGAACTTTCCTGGTTTACCAGCCAACATTCAGCATTAGTGCATTTTATCAGATGTGACAGAGGTGTGTACTGCAAGTCTGGGCTCATAATCACCATTCTTACAGGAAGGGAACGCCTCCTGACTAAACATTAGTTAGGTACATTTCAGTACAGTTCACAGCAATTTCTGATTGAATTTAGAGGAAATAGAACCTGGAAATTATCATCACATAATTTTGAAGGGATTATTTCTCTTTTTGTTTAGTTGTTCAGAATTGTCATCTTACCGCAGAGGCACTGGCAGAAAGAACATAGTTGCGGGGTCTGGTTTCTTGAAAATCTGGAGCCATCTACAGAGACAGGAAGAGTATTTAATATTTGTATGACTGTGACCGCGGTGCATACATGGAAACCATAATTCAGCAAACACTATACAAGAAAGCGAAATTAAAAAACAATCAGAAAGCAGAGCAGAAATGAAACCATGACCTTGATGAGTTACACTTAAAGCACAAAAAACTGTATTGGTCTTTGGGAGATTGATTCTCCTTGTGTTGTTGATTTAAAATAATTTAATACAATTTGTGCTGTTTGGTCTCAAGATTAAAAGGGCAGTTGTGTGCTCTTACCCCTGCAATTTGTAAAGGTGGGGGAGGTGGTTGGCAGTTAATCCTTGCCATCATCACACTTTTAAATTAAGGGTTTCTGAACTCATCAAAAGAAAAGCGCAGAGGTGATGCAACACTACTAAGTGTAAACACCCCCTCAGATGCTACAAAACTCGTGACTTACTGACATCACTAATCCTTTGTCAGCAGAGCAGTCATGAGATATTATCAATATATTTGAGACTAGTCAGCAGTATTTCATCATGCACATGCTAACATGCTTTGTGAGTAATAAAATGGTATGGCTCCCAACATCACACTGAATGTTTTGATATCAGTCCCATTTTAAATTCTGTCCAAGAGTGGAACAAGGAGAAGATTCAAGAAAATCCGAAGGTGTTCTGTCAGTCATTCTTAGCTCATGGTGAAGGAACCTTTTTAATTGGGACCTTCTACTTCAGGAATATATGTCGAGGTACAAATTAATTTAGCAACAAACATATTTTGGTTCAGAATTCATAATGCTGGGAAAAGGAAGTCAGATTCAAGTACAAAATCCTTGAGAAACACTGCATCTTCTGAGAAAATACAATAAATAGATAACAAAGAAATGTTAAAGGCTTATAAAGGGTGCTCTTTGCCTTCACCCAACCTCCTAATGGATTTGTATCTGTTTTCCTCAGAATATTTAAATCCCATGTTTTTATTACAGACCCCAAGTTTTTCAAAGTCTTGTCAGCAGCCATTTATATTATTATAGCCAACTAGCAAAATCCTAATGCATGGAGGACTGTCAATATCCAATAACCCTGTACATCTGTATTTAACTGAATGACACTACACTCAACTTGACTCACAAGTATTTATTAGAATTAAGATATACATGATAACTTCCAGTGTAGAAAACATTATAATAATGAGTCACGTTAATTGTTGCAGAGGAAGGTCTTCACTTTGTTTTCTAGCACCTTGAACCTTGGATCTAAGGAAACTCTGAGCTTTTTAAAATCTTTTTTTAATTTCTTTTCAATTAAACTTAATTGTTAACACAGATTTAATGTATTAGGTTCCACAGTAGGTAGTGGTTCAACTCTATGCTTCAAGTGGCTTTTTCAGTGTGTGCGTTTATTGTGTTTATTGCCAGCAGATTCCTTCATGTTTTGGCCTTCTAATCAACGATACAGGCCAAACTTGAGGGTACGCTGAAGCAAAAGGTAAATTTAGCTGGCTAATTAATGACCACAAATAACAATAGAACATTTTGAACACGGATATCTTAGTTGATAACACTACATACAACACTTCCTGCTGCAGAGTCCATCCATATAGATTAATGTTCGGGCAGAGTCAAATTATTTGTCTGTTTGCTGTTTTTTTGTCATAGACATATGTGCATATTTCCCATTATACTGTTTAATATGCTTCAAGTTTTAAGCTTCATCTGCAAAGAGTCAATTTTTCCCCTGTCATTAATAGTTATTGCCACCAATCAATGAATGGCACAGAAAATAACTGCAAAGCAAGTGAGAAGAAAAACTCAACATGTGAATCATATGGATAAACTTTAAAAATGTCTGTGATACTCACTTCTCCCTCGCACTGAAAAGGTTGTGAATACAAAGTCAATTAGTCATGGTCAGTACCAACACTTACAATGCTTATAGGAAAGAATGCAGGGGCGGTTTTGCAGGTCGGGAAGTAAAGAAGGACTCACCGCAGCTTTAGCCTCAGCCAATTTGGCCTTCTTCAGACGTGCTTTACAAGCATCCAGGTCCAGACGCAGATTTTCCAGAAGACGTCTTTCTTTCTGTTCATTTAGTACATGAAATTAAATTAAGTAATCGCATAAGCATATATTAGAAACATATATTATTGAGGAAAGTAATTCAATTGAGTTCAGTCTGGATTTTTAATGCAAGGATGTGGTGTGGTGGCCCTATAACCAGCTCATGTAGTACTCTGAAACTCTTTGAAATGTACCCTGCCTGTCAGTATGGTATACGATGCTCGGTAGAGAGCACATAATGCACAGGTGCAGAAATAATGGAATAAGAGAGTAGTTTAATAGTTTAACTAAACCCTCCCCACTGGACACCCCACGGTTGTATCAAAGACTTAATAGATTGTGGAACTATCCTTTAAATCCTTGCCAGGTGGTAAAGCGGGTTGTCCACTTACCAAAAGTGCTGGCGCTTCAATCCTAGTCAAGACACCCCATGAACCCGAAATTTCCTGTGAGTGATGTGTGATAGAGACACTGCTGCACAGAGATGTTCTTTGGCAGTTCTTTCTGTACATCCTCTCTACAATCAGGGAGGAGTTGAGGTGAGCTGTGAGCAACCACAGCCATTCAATCCTTCCAGATATCAATCAAATTGATTTATTTCAATCAATCAAATCTTATTTGTATAGCCCATATTCACAAATCACAATTTGTCTCAGAGGGCCTTAACAAGCTGTGACATCCTCTGTCTTTATCCCTCAACAAGAGTTAGGAAAAAATACCAAAAAACCTGTTTAACAGGGAAAAAAAGAACGTAGAAACCTCACAGAGAGCCACATGTGAGAGATCCCTCTCCTAGGATGGACAGAAGAGCAATTGCTGCCACGTGTAATGGAGAACGTCAGAGAAATAGTAGAGTAATTACAGCATTGGTTAGAATAAACAGTTTGTAGCTTGATGGAAGGTAAATTAATTGAGGAATTATTGTCAGGAATGGTCGAGTATCTGAGGAGACATACTGTATATCAAGCAGTCTTGTTGTAGTCATAGTCCACGATCAGCTGCCACAGATATGGCACAATTCACAGCATGGCTTTAAAGCAGGCTTTACCAGGCCCAAATAACCATACCAACCATCAAATTTTAAAGTCTCATTATTCAAGCTTTTTTCTTGTGGGCTGAAAGCCATTCATTTAACAAATTGTCTTGCCTATTAAACCTCTACAGGTTCTCTCTGCTTCGTAGCATGACGGTGGACGACAACATATATACTTATATAACTCTTATATAACTGTTACAGAATAGGAGACTACTGCTTCATGTTCACAGTCTTCAAATTGTTTCATTCATGATTAGAGGGGTGGCTGGGTTGGACATAAGGTTTACGTAAAAGTCTTTGCTAAATTTGAGTGACAGACTACTAAGTCTTCCTTCATGTTGTCCTCTCTTTAAATAAACTTCCGCAGCATCAAGAACTTGTGAAAGAAAACACTTAAGATGTAAGTTCCTATGAACACCATATCTTTCATGGTTAGTCACGTTTATGAAGAGGTGCACATCAGCGATAGGCTCCAATGAATATTGTACATGCAAGGATTGCCCAGACACGCAGAACTGTTTTTACTTGAATTATTATATCAAGTGGAGATGCAAGTGTTTTGGGAAATGTGTGAGTCAGTGGCCTACCACCCCATCCTTCATGTTTATTCTCATTAAATAACATGAATTCATCCATCTCTATAATTGATCAAATCAGCCATTAGTCAGGTTCAGATGTTGACTATTAAAAGTACGACATGCCTATTTCATATAGCCTTGGATAAACTAATCTTGGACTTGACTATAAATGCTACCTGTCTGCACAACCGTAATGAACCAACAACAGGTTTACATTGAATACATGAGAAATAAAGCCCCTCTTCAGTAACCACATTCTTAAATTATTTGTACGTTCTCTTCTTCTCCCTAAAATGCAACATTCCCCCTCAAAATAAAAGTAGAGTGAATACAATGACCATTTATGTAATAATCTATGAATAATGTATAAATTTTGTATACTCACTGAAATGGTCTTCCAATCGCCTTCCAGAAAGTTCCTGAGGGGAGAGAGAAAGCTAATAGTTGATGTCTGGAGGAAATCCCTCTCTGCCGCTCCCAATCTTCTCTCACATTCCCCCACCGTCGTTAAAGTGCTCCCTGCAAAACAAGGTTAGATCCATTTAGATCCAAAACTCGTCACTCTCCTTAGGGCTTAGCATGTCTTCTGAAGCATGGACGTGCACAGACATTTTAGGGGGCATGGGCTCAAGTGAGAAAAGGGAACTTCTCATAATTATTTATAAAAAAAATGTTTTGAAACAAAAAGTTGAATATAGCAGAACATCTCTGACTTACTTAACAATTGAATTTATTACACTCACGCAATTGTTAAATACTCAACACACAGAGACAATGGTCTTCACTGGTATTCACTAGGTTTATCATAAGAGCAGACAACAACAGAGGAAACAACAATGCATCTTGATGTATTTCAATGTATCACATCCACATTTCCTACATTACTGCACATGGCCACTTTTTCCTCAGTTAATATTAGTAAATAAAAACAGTCAAAAATGAACTCTCTTTTTATTTAGAAAGTGCTTTAAAATGTAGCATAGACTGTTACTGTTCTCACAATTGTGCTGTCATTTACAAAATAAGGTTTTCAATTCATATATCAAACTATAACAGTTGTTGATGACAGTGGTCAGTGCTCTCCACACTGATTTCACATTCATTCAGTTTTAAATTGTGTTTAAATTGTGTGCTGCACAAGGCTTAAAAAGGCTTAAAGGAACAAACTCTGATGACAGCCTTTACTGTTTAAAGGTGGCCCCGTCACCTCAAGCCCCTTCTGATGTCTATGTCTGCACCTGTAAGTTCTGAAGTGCAATGTAGCTAAATAAACTGTAGACTTGTTGAGTCTTAGTGACTACAAGTTTCTTCTTTCCATACATTGCACCAGATGACATCACATGACACTACATGCGATACAGTTTTGTAAATGACTTGGATTAACTTGGGGGCTCTGCCTAAAGCCAAATATCTGCCAAAACCCATAAAAAAGCCATTATATTATAACAAAAACCAATGTTTTCTTCCTATAGAAAGTCTTAGTTTTTTCTTTTTAGACAAATGCCAACAGTTCTGCATTTGTTTCTGACAAAGCCAGAGAGCTTTTAGCTTTTATTACATGTTTTGCTTTCATCTCCTACATTTTTGTCTTAAATCCTATTACCACATCTTACAAGATCAAGACATAGTCAGTTACTTGGTTATCAGTGACTTGAGGGAGACAAAGTCCCCTTTGTCTCTACTTTAACTTAAAGATAGATCAGGACAGGGACAATGTCCCAATGGCTTTACAGAGTGATGCACACTGTGATGTTTCTGTGACATGCCAACAACACAATGAGCACAGTTGGATGGGGCGGTCTTCATCTAACCAGAAGGTCGACAGTTCGATCCTAGTCTTTTCTATTTCACATGCCAGTGTAATGGAAAATTTGCATATGACCTTAGCTTGAACTCTGTGTGCTGTGTTCAAAAATAAGTCATATAGAAACAGTTGTGCTCACATAAAAGGAACTGTCTGGTTTACGTGCAGACGGACGACTCAAAAATGGACAGACACCTTTTTTTTCTTTTTTTACCTTAAACTAACAAATGCCCTAAGTGTTGCTATGTACTTGGCAGATGCAGGGTTTCCCGCAGCGCTTTATAGTTAAGGCGGCCGCCTTGACAACAACGGTCCCCCCCCTTGACTATGTCCCCCCGAAAATAAATAAATACATAAATATTCCGCATCCCCGCATGCATAGACAGTAGGTTAAAATAAGGCCGCATCGCATTTTTCCCATGATATGATTAAATGGTAAATGGTCTGTATTTATATGTGCTTGTCAGCCCTGATGATCACTCAAAACTCTTTACAGCCGTTGACTCAAACCCCGGTTACACCTGAGGCTTGAGTTCCCATAGGTGAGGCAGTGCAAGTGCAAAGGGGGTGGAGGCAGTGGTAATATAATATTTATTAGAAAGCTACATATGCTATCTTTCAAATAATTAAAAAAAAAAGACTTATCTGACTAGAAGTATGTGAGATGTGGTTAAATTCTCACTGCATTTTCTATTCTTACAAACAAAGCCGATGTATAAGGAATGGTTTAAATCAGTTTTTTCTACATTGGTCAGACATCTGGCCCCTGCTCTAAAGGGCCAGAGGACAATTAGGGAAGTCCCTGTTTATTGAGCAGCAGCTGGGTTTAACTTAAACTGTCAGCTCTATGTTTTTGAAAAGTTTGTCAAATAAACCTGCTGAAATAAATTTAACTGCTGAATCTACTGTGCACACTTGTGGATGAGTAATTGGAATGTAGTTCCTCCTGTACTCATTCATTCATCTTTATTTTGCTTGGCTGGATTTAATTACTATAATCTGTTTGCCGGCATGATCAGGCCCCCTTGAGGAACAGAATAAAAATTGCACATGAGAAAGTATTATAAAATCAGGGTTGTGTAAACTAAGGGAGGTTTAGATGGGTGTGATTTCACCAAAATACCACAGTCAGACGTCGACCAGCCCGGAGGACTCGCACACTCAGTTGTGAGTGGGTGAATGGAAAACTGTAGTGTAAAGCGCTTTGAGTGGTCTTCAAGACTAGAAAAGCGCTATATAAATACAACCATTTACCATTTACTCATCCTTGGCACAAGTATTGGAGTGGGATGGTGAATTAATGTTTTGTCAACCACACCACACTTCCCCTCCCTCTGTGAGGAAAAGTGACATAACAAAATACCAAACTGTTGAAGAAACTGCAGCTGAAGAAGTCCCTTCAATGTAGTGCTGGGAAATACCAGATTCCATGAGTACTTTCCATTTGTGCCAGCACAAAAACACAGCCCGGAGTGTGTACGTGGATGCAGGGTGGCTGTGGCTGAGGGGGGTAGAGTGGGTCGTTCACTCTCACTCTTCCACATTCCATATGCCAGAGTTACCTTGGACAAGATATTGAAATTGCCCCTGATGGCTGTGCTGTTCTCTTAGAAAAAGGGCTGATGGATACACTATATGCATGTGTGTGAATGGGTGAATGTAATACTGTTCTGTAAAATGCTTTGAGTAGTCATCAACTTGAAAAGCGCTATATAAATACAGACCATTTACTTCATTATAATTAGTTAGTTAGTAAAGAGGAGCTAGCAGACTTTAACTTTCTAATGGGTAGCTTTATATAGTAGGGGGAGGTAGAGTTAGGTGACCTATCAACTTGTTGGGTAAATGCACAGCTAACATTTAAACTTGGTGAGACCACTTCCAGAAGGGGTCAGGTCAATGTGATTGCATTTCAGCTTCAAAGAATTTTGCATGCACATATGATATGTATGCGCATATGATATTCATGCATGTATGATATGCATATCATACATGTAATAATAATTATAACAACTTGAATTTATTAATACTTAATAATATATAGCGCCTTAAAGAGACCCAAGGACGCTTTACAGGACAAAAGTCAAAATAAAATAAAATTCTCCATACAAAGCAGGGGAGTTCCAGAGGGTGGGGGCTGTGACACAGAAGGCTCTGTCTCCAAAGGTTCGCAGTTTGTAGTGGGGCATGGAGAGCAACCTGTGTCTGAGGACTGCAGCTTTCAGGACAGAGTGTATGGGTGGAGGAGGTCGGTAAGATATGGTTGGGCTAGGGCATGGACAGATGTGTAGGTGAGAAGGAGGAGTTTGTATTGAATGCGGGCCTTGACTGGGAGCCAGTGAAGGGGAAAGAGGGTTGGCGTGATGGGCTGCCAGGGCTTAGTGCAGGTGAGAATAAGAGGTGTCTTTCCTGAATCAAATACAGACTGCATGTCAAAACCTTACTTAGTTTTTTGCCTTACAAGATTGTTTTGAAGTAAATGGTTTGCATTTATATAGAACTTTAACTTTTACAGTAGTTTGTCATTCACCCATTCACACACTTTCATACAGTGCATCTATTAGCAGCATTTCTTTTCTAAGAAGGGTAATTCAGAGTTCAACATCTTGCCCAAGATACTTCGGCATGCAGATGAGGAAAACTGGGGATTGAGCCGCTGACCTTCTGGTTGGAGGAAACCCACTCTACCCCATAGCCACAGCTGCCCTAAGTGCTTGTATACTCACCATATGGAGTTCCTGGACCAAATTCCCTTGCTGCATCCTGCATATATTGACCCAGCAGCTCTCCATTAGTAATTCTTGATGGTGCCTTCCTGTCCAACTTTTCATAGAGAAACTCTTCAATTCTGGCACCTGCACAAAAAGAGTTTCATTTATGGCACAGGTGGAGAAAAAGATGCAGCATTTGGTACTTTTTGTTATCTTACTCTGCATGCTGATTAAATGAAAACTATACCCAAAAATGGTTGATTGATTGATTGATTGCCGGTTTTAAGAATTTTTTCAAATATTAAATGCAAAATTCCCTTCTCAAATTAAACAATTTTCTGGTTATTAATAATAATAATAATAACATTGTTATGGAGTTAGTTTCACGTGTGAAACCTTTATCTGCCAAAAAGGTGTAACTTGTAGAACAGAAGCTTTAACATTCAATATTTCCTTTTGAATGTTGAAAACAGAGATTGTACAGAATAATCTAATCAAAGCTGTGTCCATTTGTATACTATATGTATAGATATAAGTATATTCCTTTCATGTTTTTTAACTTTAATGTAAATGTCCTTAAAATATGTTAAATACTATAAAGCTATACATGGGACGTTGGTCGCCACCCACCAATGAACCAAACAAAGAAGGAAAAGAAGAAGAGGCCATGCATGAGAAAACCTTTACCATGAGCCTTGTTGGGTTATGATATGATCAGAGAATGAAAGTCATTTTTGGGTATAGTATTTATTTAATCAGTCAATGAGATGGATTTTTTATCCAACTGTAGGATCTGTAAATGAGTAATAACTACAGAAAAATGTGAGGGGACAGAATAACATGAAATGTTAATTTGTCCACTCCCTGCAAACAGCAAAGAATCATCACACACTGTACCCTCACAAATCCTGTAGAGTTGCATCTCCACCACCAATTCAACCACAACACTGTAATCCTCACACATGTGCCACATCACTTCAGAGTACAGGTACTCATTGAAATCCAATCCCTCATGAAAGACTCACACATAACAGGACTGTGACATCCATTAGGCTTAGGTGGTATCCTTGCTTTCAAACCGAAACACCTTTAAACACATACAGTTATGTGCAAAATTGTAGGCACTAAAAAAGAAGACTACAACATTTTAGGGAGGCATCTGATTGGTTCCAAAATCATTCTGCGACAGAAATCAAAGCCAATCATACAGACCAAATCATCAGCAACAAGATAAAGAGCAGAAGGGGGTCTGGTCCCCCAACCTGATATCATGAAGTCAGAAAATATTGATTTGATTTAGGTTTTTTACTGCACTGTTTTACTCTTTACTGTGTTTGCATGACAATATAATAAATGTATGTATATTTAAGACTGAATCTCTCTCATAAACCCCTTACTTACCCCCATTTTCGATGGAAGTTAGTCAGATCCAAAATAGATCTAAAAGTTCAACAGAGCATGGAAAGGCAGCCGGTCATGGTTAGAAACAGCAAATAATACGCTGTATCAATATATATCAGCTTGTATCAATAAGGCTACTGTTTTCTGTAAAGTACTAATCACATGATTTGTCCTCACATGCTCTGTGGGAGACTTTAAGCCAAAACAAGTCAGCAGACTTGTTAGCCCATTGACTGTTAATCAAGTTACCCATGATATCATCACGTGAAATGATCCTCTTCTGTTTTTGACTTTTACTGCCTCTCTTTTTCTGCACTTCAGTGAAGAGCAGCAGCCTGCTTTCTCTTATGACATACTGGACTAACACTATTTGGTGGTCACACATGATATCAGGTACAACATATATTAGTTTCCTGCCTGCTAGTGGACAAGGGTTAATTAATGCTGCTGATAACAGTTGAGAAATACAAATATAATGTTCAATTGGTATTCAGTACTTGCCAGGATTTGAAATGTCCAGTGTAAGCCTTATAAGCACATAACCACCCAAGTCTAATGTCTGTTACATAAGATAAATGAAAAGCATGGAATAGTTTAGACTAATGAATGGCATAGCTACGTTTAAAGTAAACACATTTTCCACAAATACATTTCGGAATAATTCGTTGGTTTTTTTTCCCCAATCGGGGTGCCTGTCAAACACAATATCTAAATCACATATCACAATACTGAAAAGCCTTACTCTGAGGTGTTTTTATTTTATGAATATACACATCAGATCAAACTGATACAGGCAACTCACTGAGACTTATGATGTTAAGGAGAAAATATTCAGTAATCAGCAAACAAATCGCACTGTACTTGTGGAAAACTGTTGAGAGAGAAATCTGCAGCCTGCACTTTAAACTCACACACATTTTCAAATATGGCTCGTATGGTCCACAAACACAAGACATACACTGCACACAATAGAGCTGGAGTGATGAGGATAACAGTTAACTATGATGCGAGAACAATCTGAACAGGATGACTCTAGGAACTGTGGAAATGTGGGCAGCCCAGGCCCAAAAGATACAAATGAAATCCTTCCCTGTTTCTGTTCTCCTAGCTTCCACTGGTCAGTATCAACACTTACAGAGGCTTTATTTCATTGCTCTGTCTCAAAAGGCCAAATATGATAGAGTGGTTTTCTGCCCACATTCCACAAAAACAGGCTAATACTCTATGAGCAGTATTAAACACTAAAATGTTAGCACTATCGTGGTGACACCTTTGTAGCTAAGACTTATGTATTAATTGATTGTTATGTTCGATGATAGTCAGCTGACATCCCTTTCCGCCCCCTCTCCACTTGTCACCATTAAAGTTGATTGTTATGTTTCTGGAGCTTGGCCTACTTTAAGTGTACTTTACAGTGAGGATGTCAGAGCTGCTGCTTTAAAGGTTCAGTGTGTAAGATTGAGGTGAAAGGGATTTTTGGCAGATATTTTATATAAAATAATCCTAGAGGTGTTTTCACTAATGTGTCTCATCTAAATTTTATGAATTGTTGTTTTCTTGAAAATGTTATTTGGGATTTGTCAGGCATACCTGAAACCCCAGCAGTAAGAATGATAAGATAATGATATTAGACAAAGATAACCCAAGTTAAGTGAGAATGCAGTTTTCAAATTATTTCATCTATTGAAGGAAGAATGCTTTCCAAAATTGTCCCCCTCAGTTTATCAATCAACAAATTGAATTAATAATCGGGGTCAATGTTACTAACCACACCCATGTACAATTATTATCAGGCCTGTAATGTCACTTAAATATAGTCTGTCTGGAAATTTGAAGTGGGCTAAAAGGTCTCCCAAAGACACACATGATGCTGCAAACTAAAGACAGTGACAAATGCTAACAAATGCTTAGGTCTGACGAGCCGATTCTCTAGTAAATATTCTTCTTTTTTTGAACGTGGACAGTATACCCAATTATCATGTGCCACCTTGATAGCAATACAGACTGAAAGTTTAAAAATCCTCTCCATAACAGACAAAACACACTGTCTGGTCAAGAGAATTGAGTCACAGGTATAACTAAAAAGGGCACGAGTCTGGAGTAAGGTAAATTATTACTGACTCGCATACAATCATCTATGTGCCAGGAAAAGGATTCACCCTTGTTTATGTCCTTCTGTGGTCAGCCCTGATGTCACACTGATGCTTTGAGTCTCATTAAAAATGTATTTTACATCTACAATGTTCATCAACTACTTATTTTGTACTAATAATCCAAAGGCATGAAAGGTTTCCACAGCAGGGGACTCGAGTTGGGAGGCAGAATACTCACCAGTGTGATCAACTGTAGCATGGAGAATCAAAAAGTCACATGTTAGATTTCCCCATTATTTCCCAATTATGTTTTTCCATATCACTCTAAACCAATACATGTTGTCAATGCACTACATTTTGTAAACTTTTAACCCTCTGTTATATTACCATACCACTGTGCATGTTTAAGCCTTTTATTAACAAGTTTGATTTACCTATATTTTTTTTGTCAAAGTTGCATTTGTGTCCCCATTTCTATTGAACCATGTGGAGTTTTCAGCAAAAGCAACTAATTACTTTTATGCAATCAACAGATGGTGGCAAACTGCCAGCGATGGCAGTGAAGAAAAGACTGGAAGTTTGTAAATATTGCAAAATTCTGAATAATAAAAAAATTGGTCTTTTCAAATGTCTAATAAAGGACATATGTGGCTGGCCAGGAGACGCTTCGGTGGCAAACACAGACAGGTTCTCACACATGTCCCCTCAATAATTCAAGAAAACAAAAGCGGTATGTTTTAGAAACTTCTGATAGTGGATATTCCATGTAACTTTCATCTAAAAACTTTCTGAAGCCACTGTACATTCATCAAATTTGTTAGACTATGAGGAGACATATTGTGCATTTTGGTGTGAAACTATACATTAACACAAAGGGCACATTTAAAGTCTTATGACAATCAAAGTGATGTTGATAAGAGTTGACTTCAAATGCAACATTTTACTTAAATTTCTCAAATGTCTTGACTCTGGTCAAGGATGTTTACAGCAACTCAGTGCACTGTGGGATGTGATGACGCATCTGCCCTCAGGTTGTGTGACAAAATTCATGTGAGCTTGAACAGGTGTTTACAGAGGGCTATGTTCGTATGCAGTAAACAACAGTTTTTTAGTTGCTCAGTGGAGAGAGGAAAAACTCGACTGTCAGGGAATGCAATAAGACATGCTTAAACTATGATGCAAAAATAATGCTAGCTGTGATGGTCTTCAAATATTAAAGTTTCAGATCTCAACATGTCGATTTTCACAGGAATCGTGAGAAAAACTCTAATCACTGGCTGCCTTTATGTAGAAAATAATCATAAAGCTTGGTATTCTATGGGTATGCTTTGCAAAATGGTGAACAGAGCATACACAATTTCTGTGTTAAAACATGCAGTGCCACTGAAGCTGCTTCAACTTTCTACCCTGCCCTTTCTACCCTACCCTTTCTCACTGTATTGATCGCCTCAGGGATTATAGTACATCAGTTAGGTTCGACAGTTTATTCATCCAATAATGTTTCATTTTCCCATCAGTGTGCCAAGTCATGCTTGGTTTATTATTCATGACTGAATTGAATTTGAATGACTGATGGCTGCATTCCATGGTGAATATATTGTGTATTATGTCTCTTTTTAATAAAATGTACAGCATTTTATATGAATGAATGATTCCTTTTTGTTGCTTTTCACTCCACAACAGCACTTCCGCTGAGGATCATGTGTACTCTTCCCATCTGTAATGACAGGGCTATTGAAAGTGTGTCCTACTTGGGTTGGGCTGCAGCAGGACCTCAGTCTGTCTGTAGATTTTCTCCGTCCAGTTTTTGGTGCAGTCTGCACGGCTCATCAGGTTTTCAAAATGAGCGTCCAGCTCGGTTTTCTCCGCCTGGCCCAGCTTCTCCTCTGTGAACTGAGGCACAGACACAGTGTGACAGGTGAACGGCTGCAGCTCCGCTCCCCCTCCGGACACCTCCGGCTCCTCATCAGTCTGTGTTCACGGCGGGGGCAGCGACGCGATGACTGGGGGGGGGGGTGCGGGTCAGCTGACATCCCTTTCCGCCCCCTCTCTACTTGTCACCATCAAAGTTATACGAATGAAGACACATTAATTAAAAGGCCAATCGTGTTTACTGCGCTTTTCTCATTGAGTTCGTTAGTTTTGAACTTGCGGCTAGCGAGCTAGCTTGAACAGCTGGTGGCTAACAGCACTGTCAACAGAAGCGGCACACTTTCATTACGTAGGCCTGTTGTCGAGACGGGGGCAGCGTATGTTTCACCTCCACGTTAGCTCGTCACGGCTGCGCGGCTCAGCGAGGGGCTGCCCCGCTACATAGCTCCGTAACATCGGTGTAACGTCAGTCGGTAGCGTGAGTAACAGCTGGCTGTCAGAGTGAGGGCCAGCGGCGGCGGCGGCGGCGGCAGCGCCTGAGCACGAGCCTCAGCGCGAGCGTCTCCTTACCTGAACAGCTCGTGTGAAAAACAGCCCGGCTCCGGAGGCCAGCTTCTTCACGTTGAAGTCCATGATGTTCGGTTCAGCAGGCCGGGGAACGCTCCGAACAAGATCCTCCGTTCCAGCGGTTATGGTACGCTCCAAAGGTCACGTGACCACCACGGAGGAGGAGGAGGAGGACGACGCCTCGTGACGTCAGGCGCGTGTCACGCTGGCAGAGGGGTTGTGAGAGCAGTGGCTCTCTTTACTGGCGGATCCTCTGCGCATCCGCGTGTCACTGCAGGAGCAGCCATTCCCCTCGTCCCTTTATGAGGAGCGCTTACAGTCCCGAAGATTGGCCAGCAGTACCAAAGATTGGCCAGCAGGTTCCGCCATTGTGTCTCAATCTTCAGCTGAACCGTTCACACCGAGCTTCGTGTCCGCTGCTCGATTTAATGCGAACAAAGACCAAATCCACAACCACGCCACAAGAAGCAGGTTCAAATGTGCGCTTGTTGGAGGCGCTGGCACCAGGTCGATTCATCACTCAGTTGATGACTTCCGTGTTGAGATGTTTATTTTGAATTTAATCACCGGAAGTGCTGGTATGCTGTTGTGTGCGCTGTGACTCGAGTTTTCAGTGTTCACAGTCAGCACCATAAAGTCATATACAATAATACAGAAGTGTTTTGTTTGTGTGCTAGTGGAGACTCAGCAGTCGTGCTTTTTCATATATTGTATATTTAATATTATAATCATCTATTATGCTAGTACGTTTCAGAGTATTTTTCCTTTCATAACTTTTATGTAAGAAATTATGAAGTACACTAAACCCAGGTTTTACCTTCGTTAATGTAAATATTGTATATTATATTGTGTTTGGGGAATTTCCCAAGAATAAAAATGTGATTTACAAGAAAGTCATCGTTTTTCTTGTCATTTTGAGAAAAGTTTGCTTAAAAGTACAGTGTGTAGAATTTTGTGATATCTAGTGTTGAAGTTGCATGTTGCAGCGGAACACCTCTCCCCTCACCCTCTCCTTCCAAACATGAAAAAGAACCTGTGCTAGCCTTTATTTGTCATAAAAACTCAAAAGGTGTTTAGTTTGTCCAGTCTGGACTAATGTAAAAAACATGGCGGCCTTCATAGAGAGGGTCCCCTCAATGTAAAAATAAAGTATTTAAATACAAAGGGCCTTTTCTTTCAAACCATTAACAACTCCTTGGATACACTCCATTTACACACTCCAATCAATTTATTTATTATGCTTTTGTTTCTATGTGATTGTATAAGTGTCTATAAGTCTTACATAACATGAGCTGCTGGTGAAAAAGAGATCACCTCCTTTAATAGTGAAATCACATCCAAGCATTTAAATATTTGTATTGCAATATGAAACCAAAAGTTATTGTTTAGTCTCCACACATTCATTATCAGCTGATTCTTAAGATAAATGTATATTCAGGTGTTTTACAGTGAATTTGAAAGGAATGTTGTTTGCCTCTGTTAAATGACTGGGATGAACAGGTGTTTGCTCATATTTTAAGATTATAATTTACCTTTATAGCACAGGCTTTGGAGAAGGGAACTTTTGAAAGTTTAAAAGTCTAACAGAGTTGTAGGCATAGGAATACACTTTTGTGTGTGTGTGTGGAGCCAAAAGGAAGTCAGCTTTCTGTGTGCATGATCTTTGGGCCGTTTCCATTCATCTCAGTTATTATCCAGTGGGAGTGTTTTCCACCTTAATACTAAAGTCCAGTAAAAGGCATAATCAACATCAGATTTCTCATACAATGACCTAAGGTATGGGTTTAAAACAACCTTAAAAACAACCTTAAAAAAGGTGCTGCAGCAGGAGAATGGTTCAAAATGGTTGTACCTTGTGCCTGGTGTAAGATGAGAGGGCTCCTAATAGTTTATAATGGCAACCATGTAACTGTAGCATCACCATCAGGTCTGGCTGTAGACCTGTGACATGTCCCTTTTTTTGTCATGTCAGAAAAGGACCATGGTGCCGCTAACCTGATAGGAAATCCTAAATGGACAGGCCCCTTCATACCTGTCTGAACAACCTAAAACTCTTCTATTAAGTAGTCAGCAGAGTCCAGGTCCAAATCCTATTATTATATTACATTAAATTTATCTATAAATGAATGAATGTGGGGGGACAGAGAGACAGAGAGAAGTGGAGAGGTGCTCAGTGGATGATGGGAGTTCCCCCAGCAGTCTAGACCTATAGCAGCATAACTAAGGGATGCTTCAGGACTCACCTGATCCAGAACTAACTATAGGCTTTATCAAAAAGGAATGTTTTAGGTTTAACTTTAAATGCTGAGATGGTGTCTGCCTCCTGAACCCAGAGTGGGAGCTGGTTCCACAGGAGAGGAGCCTGGTAGCTGAATGCTCTACCTCCTGTTCTACTCTTACAGACTCTTGGAACCACAAGAGAGCCTGTGTTTTGTGAACGGAGTGATCTATTTGGATAATATGGTGTTATTAGGTCTTTGATATATGAAGGGGCTTTATTATGAAGGGCTTTAAATGTGAGGAGCAGGATTTTGAAATCTATTCTGAATTTTACAGGGAGCCAATGTAGAGAAGCTAAGACAGGAGTAACATGATCTCTCCTTCTAGTTCCTGTCAGCACTCGTGCTGCAGCATTTTGGACCAACTGGAGACTTTTCACAGACTTCCTGTGACATCCTGATAATAAGGAATTACAGTAATCTAGTCTAGAGGTAACGAATGCGTGGACTAGTTTTTCAGCATCCTTCTGAGACAGGATGTTTCTAATTTTGTTGATATTGCGCAGGTGGAAGAAAGCTGTCCTAGAGACTTGTTTTATATGTTGGTCAAATGACATGTCCTGGTCAAACATAACTCCAAGGTTCCTCACAGTTGAGCTGGGGGCCAAGCTGACACCATCCATGTCACTATGTATCTGTTCAGACAGTGTTTCTCTGAGATGTTTAGGGCCGATTACAACGACCTCAGTTTTGTCTGAATTTAGAAGTAAGAAGTTTTGGGTCATCCAGGCCTTGATGTTCTTGAGACATTCCTGAAGTTGAACTAAGTGATTAGATTCATCATGCTTCAGAGAAATTTACAGCTGGGTGTCATCTGCTTAACAATGGTAGTGCATGTGGTGCTTTCTCATGATGTTGCCTAAGGGGAGCATGTATAAGGTGAAGAGTATCGGTCCAAGGAGAGAACCTTGTGGAACAATCTTAAGATTGTTAGTTAATTAATGTTAGTAGTGAGTACAGTCCCCCTTTGTGTTTTTCCATGTCTTTATAAGCTCCCTGTCATTTGTGAGGTCAGTGTCGTTATGTTTGGTTGAGTAAAACTTGTGTTCTTGACCTCCTTATGAGTTAGTACCCTTCATTTTTTAGCTCTTTTCTAGTTTCTTATGTTACACAAAATTTAAAAAAATATTAATATTACACCTGGTCCTTGTGCCTATTTGAATCGTCCCTGACATTTCATTCAGGGTGTACTGACCATTACAGATTTTCTTCCTCCAGGTAATTCATGTTTGATGTAAAATGTAGTTGTATGTTCAGTCACTTAGGGGAAATATTTATGATCTCTCCAAACCAGACTGGAGTTGGGAAACCATGCTGTAAAGAATGTAAGATAAAGAACTGCCTCAGGTTCAGTATGAGACTGCGACAGTCAGTGTGAGCTGGTGTAGATACACAATCACATGTTTATGTTTAAATTCCAAAGTGCAACTGATTTGTTGTTAGAATTCAAACCACACTCACATCCCAGCAACAGTTAGGGTCCGCATTTCTCTGCACTTCAAGTAATATGGCCACCAATACATGGTCAACTACACCTCAAATTAATTGCCTATCCCCACATCTGACGATGAACCTGTAATCTGCAACTCAGAAACTAAAATGAAAACTTTCTGGGTCCATCAACACATCCGTTTGTAAAATAGGCTTAATGCTGACCCCAGCCTGAAGTACTGAATTTTCACTACACACCATGAGAGAAACCAAGGTACAGTTTTTCAATCTGGAAACGTATTTATTCTGCTGATGGAATTGTTAAACCAGAATGCATAGCACAGCAGCCATTCACAACAGGACCTGTGCTGAAGGGCAGTTACATCATTGTCCCTTCCACTGACATTGATTTATTTTGTTTTCTTTATCAAATTCAAATTAGTACCTAACTAAATTAAAAGGCAAGCAAGCCAATAAAGATCCCTATTAACCTTATTACACTTTAAAAGCCAAAACATTACACAATGTGAACATGGCCATGTTTTCCACAAACCAAAGCAGTTTATCTAAATATTATACAAATATTTTCATATACATATGAAAATCAAAAGACAAAACTACATTTAGGGCGTCACTAGAAACAAATAACTAACAGTTAACGTTCTGCTGAAGCTTTGTGCAATGCCCCATCGGTCTTTTATCTTCAGCATAGCATTGGGGAAAGACCCGTACAGCTATTTGTGTTGCCCAGAGGATGAAGCCTAATAACTAATGTTTCCACTTCTCTGACTATTGTCCTATATCATAGTGTAGCATTGGTAAATAACAAGACCACAGTATCAACATCACTTGCATCAAGTACAGTAATTCATATTCAAAAGAAAAACTTTGACATTTCAATTGGCCAAATAAATGCTTCACAATAGTAACAACAATACAGACCACCTCTGAATGCAACTGTACAGATGAATGAAGGCATTGACATGTATCTTTCCTTATCTTCTTGAGCCACAATACAGAGAAGTCTAGCTTCATTTCTGATGGTATAATTTCCTTAATCCCTCACAACTTAAAACCAAACAAACACAGGTCAGAGGGGAGCAGCAGCAGAAGCACATCAGGTAAAAACTGCTTTATCTAGAACAGAGAAGTCTCAACTTTAGGCAGAAAAATCTACAACTAAAACTGTACACTGACAATTTTTGTTTGTGTAATAACAAGTGAGGCTGAGATTCTGAGATTACACTGGTACATTTGCAGCTACAAAAAAAAAGCAGATACACACGAGACACCGCATACAACATGTTAGTACACTTTTGTATGTAGATTACTTTAAATTAATAACAGAAGTTACAAACTATCATAATCCTTTTTGTCTTTTTTGCCTTCACCCTCAAAGCTGTCTGTCCCATCACTGTTGTCACGGCGACGCTTGCGGCTGTTGCGGATGTTGAAGCGAGGGTTCATCTGCGGCAGAGGGTCCATGCCCAAAACTTTATGGATCTGACGGAATGCCAGCAGCCTCAGAGCAAACTGTAAAGAAAAACAGAAAGAACATTCCAAACAGTTAGTTAGGGGAAGCCACAGGAAACCTCCAGCAGAGCGCATGACTTGAATGATTCCTCAAAACCCATTTCATGTGGAGCAACGTCTTGTCTACAAGCTGGTGCCAAAAAACACACAATTTAACACCAAATGATGCTGCTTTAGACTCTACAAGAGACAATAGTGAACTTATAATTCACAATTAATGTTTACGTCCTTAAAGAACCTGCTCTGCCATTTCAAATTTTATCTGATCACCACTTGAAACTGTTTATTCTGATTCCTTCATCTATTTCTGCTCAATACTGGATGAATAATTCAGAAGACACATTCAAGGTGTTCCGCAAGGCTCAGTGCTGGGCCCCATTCTTTTCACCATCTACATGCTTCCGCTTGGTCGTATCATCCGTCAACATGGCCTTAATTTCCACCCAGTCACTCGTCAATTGCCTTCACACCATAAAAATCTGGATGTGATCAAACCTTCACAAACTTAACAGTAACAAGGCTGAGCTCATGGGCGACAGCTGCGCCATCTTCCCATCCCTCAAGGTCCGCAACCTGGGTGTCATTGTTGAGTCGACCCTCTCCTTCCAATCCCACATCAAATCCGTCACTAAATCCGCATTCTTTCACCTCAAAAACATCTCCAGACTCCTGCCTTAACTCCCCGACTCCGTGGCAGAAACCTACATTCATGCCTTCATCACCTCCCGTCTGGATTACTGTAATAGAGTCCTATCCAGTGTAGCAGAAAATGTCCTGAACAGACTTCAAAATGTGCAGAACTCTGCTGCCAGGGTTCTCACTTGCACTAAGCCCTGGTAGCAAATCACCCTGACCCTCATTTACCCCCAATGGCTCCCAAACAAGGCCTGCATCAAGTAAAAGGTGCTATATAAATTTAAGCAATTACTATTATTATTATTATTATTAGGAGCTTGTACTTGGGCACTTGAGGTGATGTCCTCTCTCTGTTGCTCTCCCATGGTTGTTAGGGTATCGACAGCCTTCTTTTCACATGGATCCACCAATCCTGGCCCACCTGTAAAAAAATAAAAAAATAACCAGCAGTGTGAGCAAAGGGTTGATGGGAAATTTCTCTCTGCTTAAATAGGCTGTCTAATAAGGTGGGTGTGTATAATAGATGATTGTGGAGAATCAGGTGTGTCACATGATGTGTGTCACATGATTGGAGCAGCGCAGCTCGAGTTGGCTGCCTGAACTAGCTCGCAGGGTTCACTCCATTTATTGTGAGGCAAATTTGGTGATGGCACTTTTGACACCCTAACCCTTCAAGAGAATTCCTTTTGCTTTACTGCCAAAAGACAGATAACTGTATTGCACACCATTTCAGCTACTTGTGGTCAACAAATAATTGCATTTGGTTTTTTTTTTTAAAGGACATTACTAGATCACAATTATGTACAGTATTATAACACTAAACAATGACTTACCAGGGAGTAAAATCCCAGAAGAGATACATTCAAAGACCCGTCTCAGAGCATCACCTGGGCTGAGGGGGGCAGAGGCGCTACTGATGGCCTTCTCAACTAGCAGCTCCATGCCCTGAGTAGAGTGAACCGTAAAGATGCTTTAGATAGCTGGCAAACACACGCATCTACTTATAAACATGAAATACAATATAATTACAGTGCTTTAAGAATAATTCCTAGCCTTATTCAAAAATCAATCAATGATGAATTGAACAAACATCTTAATTCTATAGCTGCAGATATTCTGTTCATAGGCCAACTCAGGAGATGGAGTGGGTAAGATAGATTGCCATATTGTGCTTTCTCTTGTTAGCCATTCATCAACTGAAAATTAGATGTAAGAGATAGTCAGAGATGGTGTTAACTTTCAAGAAAGCTCTCTGTTATCTATACTGCTTATCCTTTATGCATTTCAGGGGGCTGGAGCCAATCCTCGCTGAAACTGGCAGAGAGCTGAAGTACTCCCTGGGCAAGTCTCCAATTAACATAATGTAAAGTGTATTACACATCGAGTGTAGCATTGTCCAGGAAAACAAGACCACTTAGGTCTACGAAGTTGGGGAGTAAAATCAACACAGCAGTCCTGACAAAAAACAGCAAAGCAGACAACCTTTCCACAAAACTGCATTTGTACTCATACAATGCGCTGTTTTAGAAGCTCCTTTTATTTTTATTTTCTTTTGACGAGAACGCTCATCACTGGTCTTGATGAAAACAAACCTAATGTCCGCACTTATTCAACTAATCTTCTGACAACTACGCCAGATTGCTTTTAATTTGTCCAATAAATAAACAAACAAGCTGACTTTAAATCCCAGGACCAAGAATAGCTGACAAAAGTAAAAAGATATAATACATAACTTTTATACAATAAAATGTCTTTTAACACGAAGCAGGGTAATTCGGTGTTTTTTATGTTTTAGGTTGTCCGTCTATCGCATTCTTGATTTTTCATGATCACTCAGTCTCTATTCAACCAGACACTTTCTAGAATATAGAGAAGTCATCAATAATTATAAAATAATTTTAATCTCAAGACCAATTACTGACAATATTAACATCCAGTTTGTACTTACATTCCTGCTTCACAGTCATCATAAAGTAGGACATTGACAGCAGCTCATTTGATGGATCAAAACTGGTGCTACAGTTGAAAAGCAGGTATAGTATAATTTCTACTGATTCTCAAAAGGTCCTCTGACAGGCTTTCTTTGGTCAACAAAGCTTAAACTAGGGTCAACGTTTTTGAAATTAACTACAAAAGATTTCACAGTTTTCACAATTTCATCAGGAACACAGTTCATAAAGGTCTTTGAATGTTTCATTGGCATGTCTGAATAACAAACTTACCCATCCTGGGAAGGACGACCATGTAGGAACTCGCTGACAGAGGTCTCGTAGGATTCGAATGATGATCACACAAGACTGAAGTCCATTAGCTCTAGCCTTTTGATGTAATAAAGGTTAGGTTTACAAAATGACAAAGCATGACATTAGATGGACCAAACAAGTGAATCAGCTGTCATAGAGGTCCAAACACTACTGTGCATAATGGAAGCTTGAATATGGTTTTAAGTGTGTATGAGTTTGCAAGCAGCTGCCATTCCCAGTAGTCTTGTACCTCATAGTTAGTAAGGGAGTTCAAAGTTTGCAAGATGCACAAGAAATGAGGACGTTTCTTGCCATCTTCTAAACCCTGACCCCAGGTTTATCCAGGAACCTCACAAACAAGTACTTAAAAGTACAAGAGTCCACTTGATAGAAGAGTATAGGGACTGAAAGAGCCAAGGAAATCTGCGTTACTTTGCCTGTGCTTTTGCTCAGGTAGCAGAATCACAGGAAACTACTCAGATATTCCTTTTCCCTCAATCCCCATTCTACAAAATATATAGAATAAAAACAATACAAATGTTGAACATGAAAGCACTTCTTGATGGCACAATTTTGTGCATGTTATTGTGCAGCCTTATGGAATCACATGTAACCATAATGCAGAAAATTGAAAAGAGAATACAAGGATGCCAGTTCTTTAAATTTTGGTTCCATAAGAGCTTCGGATGAACTTAGATTTAAAATCAATACATGTGATGAACATTGATCAGATCTTCATTGTAATAGGTGGCATCCTTGAATTATTCGTTTTTGCGTCAAATAGTAATAATTTTCATCATTATAATAAAATGAAAACCAAATGTGTACAACATAAATAAATGAATAAACAAATAAATAATGCATCTCATAAGGCTACAATAAGAAAGTAAAATGATGTTCCGAACCTGGAACCACTTAGCGTGGCGCAGAGCAGCCAGAGCGTCAAGGCATTTTTGCCTGTCCAAGACGTCCGCTGGGTCTTTCACCATACCCGAGGTTACATCTAAAAATGGATTTGAAGTGTCAAAATGGTGATGAGGAATGGGTGTTTGACCAGGTCAGTGAGGCTGGCAGAGAACAAACACAATGCCACACATACCAATGTGTTTCCCATGACAATCTACAATTGGTTGCTCATTTTGTCATTTCCAAGGGTCTACTGGCAAAAAAAAAAAAAAAAAAGACTAAATAAAAATCTACATATTGCCAAAGTAAGTTGATGGATATAGATTAAAAGTGTACGACATGTTTGGTCATTGGATTCTCTAAAAAAAATAAAAGTATGAATTTATCAACTTAAAATTGAAGACAAATGGACTAATGTGTTTGGAAAGCAACACTCTCGCTAAATTACATGGGTGCAGGCTCACTAATGTTTTGAAGCCGATACCATTTTATCAGGTAATTGTGTGACAAAGCTTGGAGTTACCTTGATGAGGGCCATGGGAATTTTCAATTTTAGTAGATTTTCTTCACTGAAGCATTGGGACAGAGGGGGGATTCTGTGGCTAATGACCTGATAAAAAAGTGGCATGGCAATAGTAGGTGTGGCAAAGTTTTTGGGATGTGAGAAAACCTTGGTCAAAAATCCTTCCGAAGCTGTTGGGCCTTACTAAACCTCTAATGGGAGACAATCAACTGTTTTTTTCCCCTCTCTTTTTGTGTTCAAAGAAATAAGAGTCTTTGTGCTGTACTTAGAAATATTGCTACAAGTATAAAAAAAGGAGGAAGCAATGGGTGCTGAAGAAGAGAAAACAAACATGAGAACTAACAGCAAACAAAAGGGGTTAGGCTATCACTGCATGCATACCTACAATCAGTAGGTTGGAATTAGACCCCAACAATCATTGTATACCAACGGATGTCCTCGGGTCCAACCAAAGATTCCTCTGTCATAGCCGTCTTACCTGAACTCTTAACAATACTCCCCTAAGAATTATTTGAAATGATCAGATTTCAAAACAATACAGGACATGATTTATCTCAATCTTTCCATGTCAATTAATTCAAAAGTGAAAATGGTCCATATTCAGATTATGTGTCTTCATCTTCCATTTGACATTCAAATAAAAATGACAAAAGCTTGTCATGGATAAACACTAAATATTATCGCATATTAACCTGTGGAGCCCAATTCAGATTCCTATGTGTGTAAAGGAAGATGGCAATCAACTCAGGGGAGCACTTCAGAACAGGGGACCATAGCATGGTGAACTGTTCACCAGTACACAAAAGGAAGATTTGTTTCCTGTGGGAACATAATATCCAATTTCTCTGCCTTAGGCCAAATATTCATTTGAGACAATGTTGCAAAGTTCAAACGTCTTTGTAAAATTACTTCCAACTGTAATTTGAGGTAAGTAAGTGCCTCCTGTTGTTTATTTGTTCACCTTCTGCTGGAATTGTCTTTTTTGTCTCCTCATGTCAAAGAAGTTTTGGGAAAAAGATCCTGTAATGTATGTCTCCCATTGATTATAGCCAACAGTAAAATGGAAACACAATCCCCTGTAACACAGGAAACAAAATAGAATCTCATCTGGGAATAACTAGACTCAACACAATGCAAACACTGATCATGCTTTGTTTCAAAGGATAAAGATAGCATTTGAGAGGTAAGAGTTACAGAGCAAAAAGCGTAAGAGCAATACTGCTGGCACTTTTTTTTAATGTTACACTAGAGGTGATCTGCTGCACATGATGTGCAAAGAGAAATCATTGAGAAAATGGCTAAATTAGGAGTCTCAATATCAGCAGATTATCAAAAGATAGTGTTTCATTGAAATGGTTTTCAGAAATTGATGCAGTTCATAAACAGCGCAAAATATACCCTCGGGGAAAAAGACCACAACTACAGTCATAAGATATGATGACCTTGCACTTCCTTCGTTGCCCTCTCATTTCTGATTTCAATAATCCAAATGAAACATGCATGAAGTGCAAGTTGCTAGAGTGATCTGATTGAAAACCCAACGAATCAATCTTTGTGGAGTGCCAGCAGGACCGTGCTCTTCAAGGGTGTCAACCAACATATTGAAACTGATTTCATAGAGAGATAGCAGAAAGACAAGAAAAGAGGTGCAATGGGAAGGCTGTGATGGGATTCCCAACCTCCATCCCGGCCATTTTCCTCTCTGATGACAGGTGAAGTCAGCGTGATTGTCACTTGCATCTTTGGCTCGGTACAGGACGTCAGAATGATGGCTGCTTCCTGGATAGATCCCTTGACCTCATATTTTTCTGGTGTTACCATCTGAAAGAAATTGTGTATTAATAATATTTTTCAAAGTCAGCTTTTCATACAACTAGCTAACAGTTATTTCTATAGAGCATACCTAGTCATCTACATTCATAGGTAAGTTAGTTTACATGGAATACCAAGCAGTGGTGGACCTGATGCATTTATCAGTCCCCTGTCAGCAGAGAACAGCAATGCTTGTTTGGTAAAAATGCTGAATCCCAAAGATTGCTCCAGCATACAAGGAACATTTAAAAAGGTTTATGTCTTGAGAGACTTGCAAAACTGTTAAATTGAAGGAGAATCCTTTATAAAAGTTATTGATGTTATGGTCAGTTGGGACATCCTTCTCAATGGACAGCATTGATCTGAGAGCCTCCTCTCTATATTTCTGTTTCTAAGATGGTTTTTGATCAGTTTCAGTTTAATCACTTTACTGATGCAGTTGAGCCAATGGAAAAATATAAATTATTTTTTTCTGATACAGTGCCCCCATAGATAACTTAACCATAGTTTGTATTCATTGGAAGGACACTCAATATTATTTCATACAGAAAAGCTGGGGTCAATCCAAATGACAGCAACTCACAGGACACTGCATTACTTCTTTGTCACACTTGACCATTTGTGTGACAAACACACATGAACAAAAAGAAAAAAAACTGTGCTGTGTAACTACAGAGTCTACCAACTGCACCATGAATTCAGCTTTCAACTTAACCTAACCCAGTAAAAATTTTCCTGTTTACACAATTAGTGTAATTAATGTTAAGAAAATGTTGCTTGCCACTATTCAGTAATGAATCTTTCTAATTGACTGCATGTATCCACTGATTTAGTGCACAAAACGGAAAATTGTTTTTGGTGGGTTAAGGTAGTTTGTGTGTGTTTAGAACTTATACAAAGACAAACTGGTCTCAAGAAAGAATGAGGCAAGTGCTGTTTTCAGTGTCCACTGATCGAATTAAACTGTAGAGTAACATTTGTAAAGATAGTACTGTTAGTTGCTTGGGCAGGTGCTCCATAATGCGGCTGAGGAGGTCTTTGGTGGGCTTCTCTGAGCAGAGCAGGACTAGGTTGACATCTTTGTCCCCACGCAGAAGTAAGCCTTTGGCCAGGACTCCAACCCTCATCACTCCCTTCAGGGCTCTAGACAGTAGAAAGATAAGAAGGAAAAATAAGCAAAGACAAATAAAATATTCTGAAAACGTTTTCAATACCTTCAAATAAAGAATGCTGTTTTGAAATAAACAATGTATATCACTATTTTCAAGAATAGAGAGATATTAGTGATAAAATAGACTTCTGACTGCATTCTAAAAAGCCAAATTGACTGATGATCACACTAGTATGGAGCAGAACAAAGCATTTCACTAGTTGGCTGCATTTATTCAATTAAAGCTGCTTTCAGATTGTTAGCCATATTTTAATGTTCCAATGCAGCAGCGACAAGGGGAGGGAGGCTGGCTGCCGCTCTTATGAACATGCACAGCTTTGTGCTTGTTCAAGTGTCAGACTTCATGATGGTTCTACCTTGTCAACTTTGCTGCTGTGCAACCATGTCAACCAGTACAGGAGAAGAAGCTCTATACTCTATTAAATGAATACCTCTTCAGCAGATGAATGAATACAAAAAATAATTATAATACAGATTCAAATAAGCACAACTCGTAGCTAGAAGCCACCACCACAGCATAACTTATTTCTGCCAATTATTCAAACAGCAGCAGTAACTGCTCACTGTCTGATAGCACCTTTTTCATTGTAAGATCCAGATCAGGACAAGCAAAAATTGACCTTCCTGGCTTAATAAAGGAGGAATAAATAAATCTAGCCTAAGTAATGAAAAGGAAGGTGCTGTCAGTAGATCAATTATAAAAAAATATCTTAAACAACATTGGTTGACATTCCTAGGTTGAAGTGATGGGGCAGTATTTAACTGACTGAAATAAAATGTATATAAAAATATTGGGGACTTAAAATTTAAGTCCCCTAACCCTAACATGAATTAACTTTACAGAGTAATGGGTCAGTTATGGTTCTAAGCTGTGCCGCTTTCAGGCAGGGGCAGGTTAGCAAAACGGACAAGAAAATGATTTCTATGCAAAGGAAGTCTAACCCCTCCAACGCTGCTGCATACACTAGACAATCTGAAATGTCCCACCTGTCTTTGCTGGATTCTTTCTTCTCCTGGTCTTCTTCCTTGGTCTTGTCCTGGTCTGTAATTATGTCTGAGACCAGTTTGAGGGCACGTTCTGTGATTGACACGATCTTCTGAATGGACTGGAGCTCATCTTCTGAGGGGTAGATGGCTGCATGTTTGGTCATGACATAACGATCATCTGAAGAATCAGGACGGCGTGGGGGCTGAAACATACAAAAGGCACATGACTTTTTTCAGATGGTCTTTCTATCTCCTGATGTTCAGGCACATCTCAGGGGATTATACCAGCGTACATCTGAAATCACATTGTATTATCAGATTACATTTTCAGTTTCTATGATTATTAATGGTCACTCTGCAGCTCACTTGTGTTTTCAAGTTGCAATAATGCATTTTACTTACAAGGTAAATATGGTGCAATAATATTGCGACCCCTGAATAGCACATAAAAAAATTACCAGACTTATGAATAAACACAACCATATATTATGTTTGCTGAAAAGTCAAAGCATTCTGTATTTACTCTCCATATCAGAATATCCAGTGTGCTTGATCATATTCAAACTTATTTTTGGTCCGAGATGAACGTTTTACATCCACACATTAAGATTATTCCTTGAACAATAACTGACCACAGAAATAATAATAATAATCAATCTTTTGACATGTGAAATCTTTGTAGATAGAATGTCAGCTTTCAATCAGTGACCTATAATTTCCATGATATTCAAACATGATATGAATCTGAAAAAAAGTCATGGCTACTTGTTTGATTATAATGGGGAAAATAAAGATATCATCAAGAACCGGGGCTGCGGTCAGAAAGTCTAAATAATCTCCTTTCCTAACCACTATTCCTTGACCCGGATGAAAAACGTTTGATTGGTCAAGGGGAGATTTGAAGGAGAAGCCGTAAGTAGTTAAGAAAGGCAGGTATACGATCCTCTGATGCAACTATTTAATCATGTTTTAAAAATGATTCCCTCTCAAATTGAATTCTGAAATAAAACACGAGTACAGGGTAAGAGAAAATAAATAAGACTCTCTTAGCTCTGCCTAAGAAGGCAGACTACCCAAAGTAAACTCCTGACAATGTTGTGGGGTTTTCACGTCACACTGGGTGGGAAATTAAACCATTTCCTGAACATTAAGTGTTACCATTGTAAGGTCCTACAATATACTTAGTAACACTACACAGACACCATGCCTTACCACAGGCCCTTGAGGCTGGAGGCCAGGCATGCCAGGTCGCACTCCGAGTAGACCGGGAGGGCCAGGAGGGCCCTGTGGGTACCCTCCATCTGGTAATCGACGTCGTTCATCCCAGTGGTGCTGCTCCTCCTCCATGCGTCTCCAGTACATGTCTTCTTCATAACGCCTGAAAGTAATAACAAGAGCTCATCTCATGGTTTCAGGTTTTTTTATTTTGCTCCACAACACCCCACCACTCCCAACAGTGGATAAGTGACTATTTATACATGTCTCTACCTTAAACACTGATAGAAAATAACCAAATCCATACCTCATCTCCATTCTCCAGCGCTCTTCCTCCTCTCTTCTTCTCCAGTACTCCTCTTTCTGCATCTGCTTTCTCATCTTTTCCTCCTGAATCTTTCTGGCTCGGATGCTGGGCTTGACCTCCACCTGCAGATCTGGGTTGACCTTTTTCTACATAACAGAACATTAAAATAGTGTTACATGTTTTACCTGAAATTTTCAAATATAAGAGCAAATATGCATCACTTGAAAATCTTGATATAGCTGAAATGCAGAACTACTCCTGCATGCCCTGCACTGAGACACCTGGTAAATATTCTAAGGTGTATCAAAATTCTGTGGCAAGGTACAGACATGTCTACAAACCTTGTATTGCAGGCGATGCCTTCGTCCTTTAAGATGCATTTCCTTCGCATTTGGGTCGTTGAAACTACATTCACACAGCTTGCAATGGAAGCGGATGACTTTGCCTTCATCGTTTCTGACCTAGAATGAGTTTCACATATTACACTCAAGATTTAAACATATTTCCGCTCCATAAAGTGTAGGCTGGCTTAAGCCCATGTATGCAAGGGTCAAAACTTACTTCCTCAACATAGTCATGACCGACTGGCTGGACATCACTCTGCAGTGCAGCCAGAGCTGATGTGGACAGAGAGTCTGAAACTTCTGCCTTGGGGTCTTGAGCACCTGAAGAGGGTACCACAGGCTTACACGCCTCCACTTTGGCCTCTGCTCTGGCTTCGTCAATCTTTACTGTTGTCTGTAATTTATTTCCACCTGCATTTCAGAAATTACAATGTAGTTAAATCTTAGAAAGTTCTACTAGATAGTCCTAAATAACAAAACAATGTGACAAGTTGGTAAGGTAGCCCTTGGTGGTCAGATTCTCTGTAGTTTTATAGTAGTTAATACTTTCACCAACCCGATGGTTGGATTTCAATTCATTCCATGTTTTGTAGTTCAATACAGCCACATGGCAATGTAGATAGTTCTACATTTTAAGGGTTTATTAGATGGTTTTACATAAGGATTTGTGTATGATAAACACTGTTATAGAATACAATTATTTGAAATGGACAGATTCAGGACAGCTGCATCTTAAAGCTAGATTTCAGAAAGTGAATAATTGTGATAAAATATCTCTTGTGTGTTGCAGTGAAAATAAGTTTTTCAGTTGGTCTCCAGTTTAAAGTATGTTGGGATTCATGATTCCTATAAACTGAGTATCCTTTTGTGTATATATAGAAAGGTTATTACTGTGGTTCTGTTATGTGCATAATCTGCATCAGATTTATCCTGTAACAGTTGGTCCATGTCCTGCTGTGTGTCCAATAAAGATAGAAGTTGAAAAAGGGATATCCAAATGGTAGGAGTTCAGTTGAAGAAAAACTCCATAATGGATTATTTAATAGGAATACTTAAATTAAACCAGCCATAACAGTGTAGCACAATAAAGCATATGCTAACCATAATTATGTATTAGAGGAACTCTGGTTTACCAAAACAAATTGCAGCAATGGTGTGTCACATGCGAATCACAGCTCACTCTAGCTGTTCCTGCTTGTATAATCTTCAGAGACAAAATAGTGCAGACTATGTCCCCACCCTCATAGGAAGATTAATCTTAATTGAAGAATAAGACCAGACTTACTAAAGCCAGCTGGTTTCTGATCAGGGGCAATGTTCCTGAACAACAGAGGATTGTGCTTCTACAGTGAGACAGACCTGTACCCTCAACATGTGTTTACTAACCGACAAAAGTGATCTTGGGGGTGTTGACTTTCTTTCCAGCTGAGGCAGAGTTGGCTACAGAGAGGTTGTTGGCTAATGGGTTCTTGCCACCTGCAACACCACTGCTGACTATGTTGACTGGCTTCAGGTAGGTGGGACTGGAGCTGGTGGCAGGGGAGGAGGAAGCAGAAGCACATAGAGAGCTGGTGGTGCTGGAACTGCTCAGGGTGGCTGTGGTCGTTTTGCTGGGGGCAGCCGTGGTGGAAGACGATGTTTGAGTGACCATACTGGGCTCAGTAGATGGAATGGGCTTTCCAAGTTTGGTATGAAGCTTCACAACCTAAAGCAGAGCATTCAGATTACAGAAAATGTTTTGGCATTTATCGCAGAGAGCGAGAGAGAGAGTCTTAATAATATAATTACTGATAATACCCCACTCATACCTTCTGGTGCTTAGCTCCACGAATGTGGGCAGCATAGGCATCGGCGCCAGTGCAGGAAACATCACAAAGTTCACAGCGGAGCTGGTTTTGAGCATTGCGGGCCAAAACCCCTCCACCACTATTACTGCTGCTACTGCTCTGGGAAACCTTCAGTGCTGCTTCCTTCTTCTTGTGCTTCTGCCCTTCAAGATGCTCCTTGTACGTCTAATGCATTTGATGTTTGAGGGGTGACAGAGAGATAAATTGCACAGATTGACCATTATTTCTTTTGAACACTAATGATTTGTTACCATGTGATTTTTAGAATATAAATTAAAAAACATCACAGCATTTATATTTGTATAGTTTGTCCTTATCCTGTCCATCGACTTGGGAACAACACATTAATTAAGATTAGAAGAACAACTCTAGGATCAGATTGACTTCAAACAGTGGACTTAATTAATGGTTTGTATGTGAAGGACCCAATTCATCTGACAATTTTAAAATATTCACATTTATGTATGCGCTTCATACTAAGCATACTGGAATAATGGTGTCATTGTGCGCTATACTGAACTCACCTGTGGACCGGCACAGCTGATCTTACAGACGTCGCAGTAGTGGATCTGAGGGGGTTTGGGCGGCTGCTTGGGCCGAAGCTGCTTACTCTGAAAGGGGGGCTTCTTGGTGAAAGTGTTCCCCGTCCATGCTGCTGTTGCAGCTACAGCTGCCACAGCCTGCTTCTGCTGTTGCTGCTGCTGGTAGTAGTTGGAGGCGGCCGAGTAAACTGCAGCTTCATAGCCCGAGTATGAGGTTCCTGGAAAGGTTAGGGCATTGCCAACTTTAAGGGTTAATTCACCCAAAACATTTAAATCACTAATTACCATCGACTCACCCCTATGCAGATGGAGGGGTGGGTGAAGTGCTTGAGTGAATACACTTCTGGACAGCGAACAGACAACCGTTTATCCCTAAGACTCCAAAAGTGTTTTCTGAACTTAAACACTTCAACCATCCCTCCATCGGCACAGTGGTGAATAGTTAAGTGAATTTAAATTTTTCTGTGAACTATGCCTTTAAAGCCTGCTCAGTACACTTTTATATTATAGGCCTTTGAAAAGGCTCCATATGATGCATGATAACCATGCTCACCATCATAGTTTATTGTGTTAATGTTTAGCATTTTATTATTGGCATTGAAAAGTGTAGCTTGAAGCTGATGTCATCGCTTTTGATATTTGGCGACGTACAGTGCAATAGTTTTCAGTTTGGGTTGTGAAAAGTAAAAAGCAAAGGCCTTGCTGGCATTAATTATATTTTTTGAACCCTCCTTTTTACTTAAGTTAACAATTATCTTATATTGACAAACATTCATGGTGTAGTTCTTGGTGGCTTCTTGGTTTTACCATGGCCAACTTACCGGAGTAGGTAACAGCATTCGTGCTGTATGTTGGGCTTTGGGAGTAAGAAGGGACCACAGAGGCAGCAGCAGCAGCCACAGGCTGTACAGTGGAGGTCACAGGGTAGATGGAGAAAGTGGATGAGGCTGGACTGGGAGCAGCCGGCTTTATCACAGTCACCTGGCGTGTCTGCTGGCTCTGGGTGTATGATGTTACCCCCTGGCTATATCCTGGTTTGGGGGCTAGAAAACACAAAAGTGAATTTAATCATCTACTCTTAAACTCAGTTTCAACAAAAACAGTATAAACTTTATGAAGGAGGACTATCTGTAGGTATAATTTATTAAGACTGCATTACGTTTAGCTAGGTGTTCCTAATAAACTAATAAATTAATGCATTTACAATACCTGTCTGATAGTATGAATCTGCCACACTGGGTTGTGGCTGTGCAGCAGCAACAGCTGCTGTAGCAGTGGGTTGCTGGTAATACTGCTTACTGTCATAAGCTACAGCTGGAGCAGTAGACCGGACATAGGAGTAGGAATCCTGCAAAGAAAACCAGTAAAACACAGTTGAAGATTTGGTGGTCAAACCTCTCTTCGTCTTGTCCACAGGTCAAATTGTTGGATGAGACACGGAACCCAAATTGTTCCTGTTGCTTCAATGTGAATGGATGGATTTTGCCACGACATGAATGCAGTGTGTAGGTTGTATTCATTTGTGTCATGAAAATGGTATTGTGCTAAATTTATCATGTGTCCTTTAGAGTATAGGTAATTATCTAAAACATTGAAGAATTCTGCACAGTCTCAGTCTCAAGCAAATGTTTTGTGGTTTTCAAAGTAAAAGCTCTACTGTTTTGTATCACTGCCATTTACACTTGGCATTACAATGATGTCCATATCTAGATATGATATGATTGTGTCTCCATCTATAGTTGTGTACAGTTGAGAATGTTCAGGTAAGATCATGAACCAACAACAAGCCTACCAACAGCCACATTGTAATACTCAAATACCCCAATGTTTTTTAATATTTCTATCCTGCATTTGTTGAATAAACCTGAAACAATGCTAAAAACTATCAATCTATTCTTTAGCCATTCATTATATAAAAAAATTTAATCTACTACTTTGTATTAGTAATTTACTCAGGGCACAGAGGCGGCTGTCTAAATGTTTTCTAATTTTGCTAATCGGCAGAGCAGCCAGTAAATACTCATGGTGTACCTGGTAGTTCTGTGACGTGACTGGTGGTGGGGGTGGAGGGACTTCGGGCTGGCGCTGAGGGTAGCCGTAGTCAGTGGCAGCATGGGTTGGCTGGTATCCTCCATAAGCTGCAGCAGTAGCAGCTGCCACGGCGACTGGCGCAGGCGTAGCGACAGCTACTGTGGCTGCAGTGGGAGCATAGGCTGCCGCCACAGTGTGTGCAGCCACAGGTGCTTGATGAACTGTGTAACTGGCCACTGTGGTGGGATGTGTATACGCCACCCCGGCAGCTGGCTGCTGACTAGTAGGACAATACAAAGGAGAAATGTCAAAGGTTAGCAATTGCAACTTTGTTTACTTAGGGTAAAGCATGTGTGATGAACATGAACAGGTTACGACAGTGGATTTACTTTACAGTTCAGTGTTCAGTTTTATTGATAAAGAACAGTGACAGAAAAAGGTGCACGTGTTTATTATCTTAAAGTTAAAATTAATTTGGAATCATGTAACCATTTTCTTCCTGTATTGAAATTATTAAATGAAAAATTATTTGCAGACTCACTCAAAAATGTTAGCAACAAAGGAATGCATCAATATCTAATAATACTTTTTGGGTCACAGAGCTTTAGAACTGAAGCAAACAATTTTCTCCACCTGACCAGCTGGGTAAGAAACAAAGTGTGTGCTGTATCTTGGCTGGCTGGCTCGTTTGCTAGCGCTGAAGATAAGCTAGTGCTGCAGATAGGCATTAATTTTAGCCCCTGGCTGATAACACACAAAGTATTTGACTTTGGATGGATGATATCCATACTGGTTGCATGCTGTGCATATTCAGTTCTTGCATGTGGGGTCCCCCAGAATTTAGTATATAAAAATAAGACAACGGGAAATGACCACAGCATAGTGTCCCAATAATTAACTACAATGTGGCGCAATCTAATTAGTGGACATTTGGAAAATTTGGAATCATTAATCCAATAAACTCATTTAAAAAGCCATATACTGCTATTAAGTATTTGACAGTCCCTGACAGGATCATGCAGACTGATGACTAGCTTTTCAGTCTTTTGATTAGTCACTGAATTTGGTATCTGAAACTTAACCTGCTCTGGAGCAAGTTAACAGTATTACTTTCCATGGTGATTTATCCCCATAAGAGGTGAACCAGCTTTATAGGACTGAAAACTCAAGAGTTAAACTTGAAATTGCAAATTATTGCTTTTTAGTACAGGCCCCTGCTCTATGTCTCTCTCATAGTTGTCCTCACAAGCAGGCAGATCTCTTCAAACAGATTTTCTGCTGTAGCTGTGCATGTTCCTGTCACAGGCCTGCAGTTTACAGCAGCGGACAGTCCTGAGCTAAATACCTGCCTTCTCTTTCACTCTGGTTTAGTTGCACATGACAGCTTACTGTAAAGCAGTTTTCAGACATGAACTCCTGAGAATGTCCGTAAAATTGGGTCCAGACTTGAATAGTATTTTGGTGCTGTGTGCAGCACTCTTTGTTTGGTTGTCTGCCTGACGATGGTCCATCAAAACATTCCTGACATCTTTACCACCCTCTGCAGGATGTCAGAATTCAGGATACTGTTCTCAGAGGGCAGATGCACATGATAGCATACAGTGGCCCCACCCGAATGGGGGTAGAAGCTCAAATGCTTTTATCAATCCAGGTTCCCAGTCATATAACAGAGATAATGTTTCATGGAAAAGCAACAAATCTGACCGCTAATATTAGCACATCCTTGCAAACATTACCACTTGATTAAGCTAAATTATACAATAGGTAAGGCATTCTAATTCTGAAATAATAAAACACCTCTTGGGCAGGGCATTGAGTATTTTGTGTGAACAATTTAATGTGTGGGTGGACAGCTCTAAGTGAAGAGGCGAGCACACCCAAGACATCTATTTGAGATCCAATCACTTAGACCACATTATGGCAACATGTGTCCCAGACCACTTGCCAAACCAGCTGTGCAAATGTGTCTGTTGTATAACCTAGTATAGATTCATAATGAACCAAACGTATTTACCCATACCCATATATTGATTTGTTTGTGGCCATAATATTAATACATATCACAACCCATTGTTTTCTATTTAAGCAAACCTTGTTTTATTGTAAAGCTATGCACATTGAGTCACTCACCCTGCACTGGCTCCACATTCTCCCTTTGTCTAGGTCCTTCCCACTTTTATACGTACACACACACACAAACATAGTTGAACTGGCTAAAAACAGCATCATTTGATCTTCACAAACAGAAATGACGTTTGTAACTGCCATTGTCTGACACAATTTCATTTTGCTCTGTTTTTTTCTGCATCATTTAGGGAAACCTTTGGTTTCCCTGTGCCAGCGCTTTCATATGTATCTGCCACATTCACTTGTAACCCTGTAGGGATGTCACGATATGAAATTTTGGTGCCACCTTTATTGTCAGCGGAAATATCACGGTTTCACGATTATTGATACTACAGGAGGAAAAAGACACAACACACAATAGCGAATATATAGCTAATAATACAGCTAATGAACTAAAATATTTATAATTATCATCAACAATATCCAGTTAGTTTTTAGAGCGTAACATTTGGCTATTTAAAAGTAATTTATTTAAGCTATTTTATTTATTGTGGAAGGTTGGTCAGTGAATTTGTGTTTCAAGTCATCCTAAGCAGTGTATCTGTATGGGACTTTTATTGTGTTAGGTTAGTGACAGAGGTTGTTCTGTTTTGGGAGCGAGGTGTTGACTTGTTGTAAAATAGTAAACAGGTAAACTGTCCCGGTTCAAGCCACATTCTTCATGTCTTAATTATACGAATACCCCTCAGTATAGGTGAATTAAACATTTACAATGGTTTAGAAGAGAGAGAGAAAGAGATATATGTGTGTGTATGTGTGCGTGTCAGCCACTCCTGCGTTGCTGGTCAGAAACCGAAAGTAAACAAGGATTTCTCCTCTCGCTGTGATCTTCATCAATGGACTTTTTGTCCAGTGTTGGTGGAAATAAGTCAGTTCCCTCTTCTTAACTAACATTTCAGTGGCTCGTGCACACAAAACGTGACACGCAAGAGATTTCACTGTGCAGTGAACACACAAATTATGTGACTTGAGAGAGGCAGGACACCATTGTTAGATATTGTAACTTTTTACAATTCTTACAGTTATGAAATCGTGATGTTATGAAACCGCGGTTATTGTAAAATCGGTTAATCGCGAGTCGCGACATCCCTATCCCCTTGTAATTGGAATAGCAAATGGATTGCACCTGCATAGCCCTTCTAGAGTCTTTACGACCACTTAAAGCTCTTTAAGCTACATGTCATGTTCCCACACATTCATTTGGATCAAACCATTGACCTCCTGATGGCTGACAGCAGTTCTAGTCCCCAGCGGCATGACCATTTACTAAATGTCAAGTCCCTAATCTCTCAACCCGTTTCCTGAGTCCTATAAACTGTAGCGGGTGCACAAAAATGATGGCTACCATATACATGTATAAGACAGCTAGAATCAAAATTACTATTCATTTAAGAATACATTTTTTACTTGCAAAAATATTCTGGAGCCAATACATATATTTCATTGAAGAGAGCTGCTGGATGGACAACCCCTCCAGCCACACCTTCTCCAGAATTGAATAGGCTAGTGGGTTACCACATGCAGACCTGTACACTATCATTACATGTGTTTAGAAACACCAGCTACCAGGCCTGTGATTGCACAGTGCAGCACCTTGACTGAAAATTTCAGAGAGATCATCAAGACACACTGCAGCTGGTCAAATGTACTTCTCAAAACAATTAAGGGAACCCTTAATCGTCATAGTATAACACCAAGTCAGTTAAACTTCAGGGATATCAATCTGTGTGGGGAAATGGTTTGGCATGCGGTGGCTGCAGACAATTGCTCTCTCCTAATCCTTCCTGACTGATTCCTCTCTAGTATTATGTTCTGTTAGTGTCCTCGTGACTACTGGTAGCATGAGGCAGTACTTGCAGCCCAATCAGGTTGCACAGGTAGTCCAGCTCCTCCAGGATGGCACATCCATTCATGCAGTCGCAAGAAGGTTTGCTGTGTCTTCCAGCACAGTCTCATGGGCATGGAGGAGAGACCAGGAGACCGGCCGTTACATAAGTAGTGCTGGACAGAGCTGTAGAAGGGCATCAACCCAGCAGCAGGACCAGGATGAGCACTGCCAGAACCCTAACAAATGAACTCAAGCAAGCTACTGGTGTGCATGCAACTGTCAGAAACAGACCCCATGAGGGTGGCATGAGGGCCGGAGGTCCTCTAGTGGGACCTGTACTCACAGCACACTTGTGCCCTGTTCTCATCACAGATGAGAGCAGGTTCCCACTAAACACAGGGCAGGCATAAAAGAGTCTGGAGATACCATGGTGAATGTTGTGCTGCCTGTAACATCATCCAGCATGACCGGTCTGGGGGTTGGTCAGTGATGGTCTGGGGAGGCATATCCTTGGAGGGTTGCACCAACAATGGTACCCTGACCACTGTTAGGTACCAGGATGACATCTGCGATTGTCAGACCTTACGCTGGTGCAGTGGGCCCTGTGTTCCTCCTGTGGTCAGAATGGTTAGGTAGTTCCTGAATGACGAAGGCATCGATGCCATTAACTGGCCCTCACGCTCCACTGACGTAAATCCAATAGAGCACCTATGGGACGTTATGTGTCAGTGCATCCAATGCCGCCAAGTACCACCACAGACTGTCCAGGAGATCACTGATGCCCCGATTCAGGTCTGGGAGGAGATCCCCCAGGAATCCATCTGCCGACTCATCAGGAGCGTGTCGGAAGTGCATACAGGCATGTGGAAACCCACGCACAGCACCGAATCACATTATAAATTGCCGGGATGAAATTCACGCCAGCTCGATTAGTCTGTGACTTAAATTTTACACTTTGATTTTAGTCGTGGTTTTGAATCCAGCCCTCAATGGGTTGATGATTGTGGAATGCATTTAACTTCATCACATAATTTTGTTCTCAACAATTGTAACATGTCCTTCAAAGATTTTTAACTTGAATGATTCATTCATCAAGTTCTGATGTGTGATTTGAGTGTGAACCTAATTTTCTTGAGCTGTGTATGTGGAGAAAGAGCAGGTGAAAAATCGGGAGTCGAAAAGTATCCCCAGGTTTCATATTTACTGAATCTTATACACAGTGCTTTTCACCGATTGTCGTTCTGCTGACCGCGTCAAACGGCGATTTATATCGACTACTTATTTTCTGGCATAATCCCACCTCTAAACTGTCGGCTATGCGTCATTAAACACCCCCAGCCCTCCCTTTCGTCTGTCAGAACTGATTGAGGCTGTGTCAGGTTATTTCAACAACTTCCCAAAGTCCACAACCCGACATTCACACTGTGAATCAATGTGTAACATGGATGAAACGCTTCATAGGATCCAGCACTCGGTACTATTACGTGGACATTCCTCACAGACGCAGGGTTGTTTTCACTCTCCGCAACATTTAACACGTTAGCATGTTTAGCCTGTAATGCGACCGTCGGTTTTACTGGTGGAGAAATCGAACCAACGCAGTATCTTTGGTTAACCAACGCAGCCATGTGCAGTGTGGACCGCTGCTTACATCTGACTGCCGCAGCAGGGGGATCAGTGCCCCCTCCCCCAGCCCGAACAATGGAGACAGTCGGGATGTACCTGTACAATACACATACTCCGCTGACTTCAGAGTTCTAACAGCACTATGGAGGCAGATGCAGTCCAAAATTGAGGGTGCGCGGGTCCACTCACCTGTACTGAGCCGCAGCGCCATGGGTAAATCCAAAGTAATTGCCGGTAGCCATTTTGGCATCTTCACCAAGCCGGCTGGGCACTGCAGAGGACAGACATACAGGGTTACGCTAAGCTAACAGTTAGCAGCAGGGTACAGTGAGATGTCCAAGGACTATCCATTAACCTCAGAATTGCACCTACACGCACGCTTGTAAAATCACTAACGCCTTTGTAGCTGATTGTAAAATAACCCCAGGTTTGATCGATACTCACCATAGGTGAAGGAGACTACAGGACATATGGGAATCATTTGCTTCGTATGTTCAACCGACGCCCGAGTGGTATACCAGCCTATTTATATTACATGTCGTACCCGGAAATACGTCTTTGCGTCTGCGCAGAAAGGAGTGAGGGGGACTCCAGGGTCTGGACCGTCCAGTCGCATGGATGCCTGTTGTTTGCTGGACTGCATAATGAAATATTTTTGTCTACACTAAATTCCCAGTACCATAACAAGACGAAACCAACAACAGAAATATACATATATGTACATATACAAATTGTCTGATTTAAAGTTTATTGTCAAAGCCTATGTCTGGGAATAACTGAAGAAACCAGCCTTTGTAAATGCAAGACATTAATTCTATTATTTTATTCATTAGAGTTGTGGGCCGACTTAAACTCTGGACTCAACCCAATAGCCAACATTAACTTGGACCAACATAACTGACAGAAAGTCATACAAATAGGTACTAAATATAAATCACTTGTACTTTCCTTGAGTATTTCAATTATTTAATGACAATAATAATAACTCTATTTGTATAGCAATTAATCTTTACGAGGTCACAAAATGCTTCCCAAAAAAAATCTATGGCAAAAAGAAGAATGAATTATAATAAAAGATAATCAGTTCAGTTCAATTTTAAGGGCCAAATCATAACAGAATAAGGTAAAGACCTTAAAATGTATAGAAAGACCTAACAGTTGATCAAGCACTTTGGTGACTGTGGAGAGGAAAAACTCCCTCATTAACTGGAAGACACCTCGAGCAGAACCAGTGTGGGCGGCCATCTGCCTCGACCGGCTGGAGAGAGAGACCAGGTACATCACATTTGAACTCTGAAAGACTGGTGGTTGTAATGAAAATAATAGTACCTGAGGGTACGCTGAGGCTAAAGGTAAATCTGACTGGCCACTGGCTTCCATGGCAGTACTAAGAAAGCCATGTGACTCGCTCAGCAGATTAGATGCCATTACCTCTATGCCTTTTTAAACTAAACAAAATCTCTCATAGGCAGCAGATTCAAAAGCTGTCATATTTAAGAAACTACATAAAATGTGGTTGCAATAAAATTAAGAAAAAAGGAATAAAGGAGTTAAGGCAATACAGTAGTACCAAAATTACAAATCACATGTTAAAAATGCTTTCCTATAAAAATATGTTTTGAGCAGTGATTTAAAGACTGGTAGTGAGTTGGGGGGCCTAATCTCTTCAGGCAGGGAGGTTCAGAGCCTTGGGGCCCTGACAGAGAAAGCCCGGTCTACCTTGAGTAGCCAGCCTTGACCTTTTACATTACATTACATATCATTTAGCTGACGCTTTTATCCAAAGGGACTTACAATAAGTGCATCAACCGTGAGGATACAAACCCAGAACAACAAGAATCATGTAGATAAATGTTAACACCAGAGTTGACGATGGCTATTAGACCTCATCTTCTTAACCAAGGTGTAGTTGGAAGAGATGTGTCTTTAGTCTGCAGTGGAAGATGTGTAGACTTTCTGCTGTCCTGGTGTCTATGGGGAGCTGGTTCCAACATTTAGGAGCCAGTACAGCAAACAGTCTTGATTTTGAGTGGCTAGTTCCCAGTGAGGGAGCAGCAAGCTGATTGGTCAATACAGAGCGGAGTGGACGGGCTGGGGTGTAAGATTTAACCATGTCCTGAATGTAGACTGGGCCCAAACTGTTGACAGCATGGTACACAAGTAGTGTCTTGAAGCGGATGTGGGCAGCCACTGGTAACCAGTGAAGGGAGCGGAGCAGTGGAGTAGTGTGAGTGAACTTAGGTTGGTTGAAGACCAGTTGAGCTGCTGCATTCTGGATGAGCTGCAGTGGCCGGATTGCACAGGTAAACCAGCCAGGAGGGAGTTGCAGTAGTCTAGGCATGAGATGACCAAAGTCTGGACCAGAACCTGTGTCGCCTTCTGAGTGAGAAGATGATTTATTCTCCTGATGTCGTGCAGCATGTATCTAAAGCAGGTTGTTGCAGTAATGTGGGCAGTTAGGGAGAGTTGACTGTCGAGTGTCACACCCAGGTGACAGTCTGGGTGGAGGCTACCACAGAGTTGTCAATGGTGACAGTAATATAACAAGCTCTTTAAGCAGTGTGAAGTCAGGGGTCACATTTCAGATGTATATGAGCTGTTAACAGATCCAATAAATACTGATTTGTTTTCGCTCTATTATTCTACAATTTGCTCATTTAATTAATGTCCAAATGATCCAATATCTTATCAAAGATACAGGAACAGAGAAAACATATTTGTTTTTTGCTCTCCCCACTTCCATCAATAATCTGATGATCCCTCAGATTTGTCTGGTGTTCCTGGCTTTAAAACTATATCATTCAAGTGGCTCCAGCTGCAGCTGCTACAAAATTAAATATTACTCTTTTTTTTCATAAAGCATATTATTTTTATATAATATAGTGGATATCCTTACATAGCCATCACATCACATAGGATCTGAATGCTTTGTCCACCACAACACAAAAGGGAGACCACAACCAGTAATAGCAAAAATGGCAATTTAGGAAAGAGCAAATGTGTGGCGTTAATTTCTTTTGAATAAAGAGCGAAATCAATGCAGATCTTTTTTAGATTTGATTTGGCACCTGCAGATGGACAAACAATACATCATGTATATGATGCAAAAATAAGTCATTTGAAGAAGGAACATCAGTGATTTATACCTGTTAGTTGGGTCACACATTATTTAACACTGAATCATATGTCAAAACTCTGAATACAAAAACAATATTTGTTGGGTTATTTATCTTGTCCTGTCCTTGGACGTGCAGTGAAGTGCTGGCAGTTACAAAAGTGCATCATGTTTCAAGATTTCAAGAATACTGTTTAAAAAAGGAAAGAGAAAGAAATGAATAACCTACAAATTCTAATTTCAAATACACACTGAACATAAGAAACCAGCCAAATAAGGTGTTGTGTGCATTTGGAAAGGCTCATTGGGATGGGAATGTGAGATTAGCCTCTGAACCTTATCTATCCACCGCTATGATGTGGCATTTATCCCATGTGCACTTTGTAAACTCCCCAAAAAATGCACCGTAATTTGTAAATATTTTTCATATTTTTACACATTTACATTTTAAGGTATCTGTTGTGATATTTACAGATATGTAACAACCATTAAATGCATGTTTGTAACATTTATTATTTTGTTCTTTAGTTATCTATTGGTTGATGTCCTTGTTTTTGTAAAAATAAATCCACTGAAGAGTAAAGAACTGCTTCTTTTGTCCAAATGACAACTAGGGTAAATATTATAAACTCAACAGGGGCCTGCATCAACTCTGACCCTGGTCAGAAGTATTGAATTGTGGTTATAGTAGACAGAGGTTGTGTTTTCAGCTTTAGGTAAGGATTTCCAGGCGGAACATTTCTTTCTTAGGTCAGCTGTTCAAGTTTGTTGTCCTTAACCTTACAAATAAAAAAGAATAGCATACAAAACGTTTTACATTCAGTTATTGTAAGAACTTACTTGACGGACTTATCTGCTTTTCGTTGCACTGGTTGGTAGAAATGATGATGCCTGCGAGCAGGGTGTGAGCTGAATAGACAGGTGGGGTAAAGCTGAATGTCAAACATCAATGTGGTAGTCAAAAGACTCCAGTTCTGCTGTACATTAACAGTGGTTACCTTCCTATTGTCATGAACCTCAAAGGTGTGAGAACATACTGTCACAATCAGTCCTGGACAGCAAAACAAGGACCTGTGATCAAGTTGTGTATTACTTATAACTATTTGTATTTCATAGACCTGTCAGAAGCGAGAGCCACTCTCTACATGACCCTTTGCTTTGAACACTTTTAGACATAAAAATAACTATGTAAAACCCATACCCACATACCTAAAGCTCAGATACTTCTCAACTTCCTCTGGTCAGTGTTTATTTAGCACACTCCAGGTCCAGCGACAGCATCAAACAACTGTTTTCATAATAATGTACAATGTTATAGAATTGATAATGATAATGTGTCTGAATGCCATGAGTTTATAAATTGCTAAAAAAATAGCATGAAAATGAAATACTAAATAAGTTCCAACATGCATGTACTTAACAGTATTAGAATATCTGTAAATATCACAACAATAACCTTTTAATTTCAATGTGTTAATGTCAAAAATGTTTGTTGATTATGCTGTATTTTTTAGTGGGTAGTCAATGCCTACAAGGGATGAAGTCTGCACATGGTGGTCAGGTTAAAATGTCTAACCTCCCAAAGAAAGCATTATAAAAATTGAGGCCCATAACACCTCCCCAACAGCTCCTCCCAACCATGGAGGCTCAAAAGCTTAACTCAGAATTCCTTAATACATAAGTCTGACAGCGTGTTATATATAGTGATATCTGTTAATTTGCGACCTGGCAAGCTTAAATATCTCTTACTGTATTAAGGTCTTCTTCACCCAGATGTTCTATACTGTCTGGCCACATGTTTGTCGATGACCCCTGGCTCCTACTCTCCTTCTACCCTGTCCACCTCTGGCCAGTGGCTACTGTTCCGGGACATGTTCATCTCAGCTGCTGTCAGTAATATATATGTAAAAGGTGTACAGTTTATACATTACTGAAGCATCTTAACTTTCTTCAACTTTCTTTAACTTCTCCTCTCACCACATTTCAGAGGAAAGTGTTCTTTACTCTCCAAATGTAGTCACTATTTACTTTCAAGATGAATATTTTACACAATGGAAAATAATATATTTCAAAATACTTCACATTTAAGAGGTTAAATCAGAGGTCTCCAACTTTTTGGCGTCAGATGTTTGATAAATCTTTGACTAGATAACAGATCGTTTTCTCTCAAAATTGGTTTCATTTCAATAAATCATCCAATTTCTACATATGTAAGAGAAATGTCCACATCTTAACAAACAGTAACATTCTCCTGCGCTTCAAAGTTTAAACTTCTGGAACTCTTGCAGTATAGCACACACACAGTGTTTTGGACTGCCTGCATCCCGGATGTAGCATCTGTGGGTGCATTAATCCCCACACTCCGACCAGTTGGCGGCGGTAATGCGCCATTACGTTGTTTGTAAACCACCACTAAACCTCAAAAAGAAGAAGTCCCATCTCGCTCTGCTGCTGTGTTACCAAACTAACCAGAAGCCGGTGGATGTGTAGGTGAGACATCGAGTCTTCCGTGGACCAGGCACAGCGTCAGATACTGTGTGGCCTCCACCCTCCACGATGAGCGGCCTGCGAACCGTCATGAGCTCCATCGCGATGGCCACTTTCGTGGGGATCGGCTTTGTCATGTGGTCGGTGATCGCTCCGGGAGAAGACAGGCGGAAAGAGCTGCTCAAGGTGACAACGTTGGGAGGCTTCTGGCGTGTGATGTGGACCGTGTCTCTTTTCACTTATACAAGCTTACAGTTGTCGTTTTCGGACCCCCGGAGAATGTCCGCACGATTGGGTCCGGACATTCTTCGGAGGTTTCCTGTCACACATGAACAACACAGCAGGAGTTTCAACAACACAGAAATCGCCGCAGCGTTCAGGAGGGTTGGTGCAGCAGGCAGAGTCAGGATGTAATGTATTAATGGAGAGATCACGTGTTTTTGTTTACAGCACATTGACACTACCTTTATCAACAAAAACTCTCTTGGCATCTTAGTTAAGAAAGAAAGCTTAAAACAAGCCCTGAATTAAAGGTTCAGTGTGTAGAATTTAGTGACATCTAGAGGTGAAGTTGCATGTTGCAGCTGAATACTCCTCATCTCACCCTCCCCTTCCAAACATGAGAGAGAACCTGTGGTGAACTTCAGATTGTCCAGTTTGGACATCAGTAAAAAAACATGGCGGCCTCCACAGAGAGGACCCCCCCTCCATGTAAATATAAAGTATTTAAATATAAAGGGCCTATTCTATGGTAAAGAAAACACCAATTGATACAACTCAGGTGATTACACATTACACAGAAAAACTCTGAAGAAAGTCCATGGGCTCTCTCTCGGCCCTTCTGCAGAATGGAAAATCTGTGGTGTTCACTACATGTGGTTAGATACATGCAGGCCAGTTCATGTATCCAAACACATACACCGGCTGTAACCTTCTCTCAACTGTCTTTTCAACATAACAATTTTACTAACCTCATTATGACATTACAACCGCAACATGAGCAAAGATACATTTATTAGAAGGGAAAAACAACAGACTTTAATTTGCCTGGCAGAGTTTTTATACACAGTGCCTCTTAGCAGATGAGATGTCTTTGCAGTTGTTTGTGTCTAAATATTCTACACAGATTCTGAAGGTCAGTATAAAACAAGTTTACATTAGCAGTCCAAAGAGATGTGAGTTAGCGAATGTGATATTTCCTCAAAAGACAAAGCAATTTTATCAAGTGATCAACTTCACTGTTGTTTCATTATATGTCATTTAGCTGACGCTTTTATCCAAAGCAACTTCCAATTTGTGCATTCAACATCTACGAGGGGCCATTCGAGGGCTGGGATTCGAGCTGCTGCCCTTCTGGTTGGAGGAAACAAAACCTTCATTCAAACATGAACTGAACTCCAGAGATTCTTAGCAGTTTCAGGAGGTGTTTGTGTGATGGCACTACTAACACACGACAGACAAAGATGTTAAGAGAGTTCGTGGTGATATGAACCAATGCAGGTGTCGATGTGCTGTAACTGCTGAGACAATCCGTACCCAATTTTCTGGAGATCCTCCGCAGGTCATGTCTGAAATTGGCTTAAAAGTCCACAGCTTCTGTGATAAGGACCAAGACTTTGCATGTCTCCAGAGATCTGAGCACAGTTGTTAAACGATTGAGAGAGAGACTCAGAAGGAACATATAGGTCGAAAACGTAACAGCATAAAGTAGAGGCATTCAGGTTGAGCCGCACCTCTGCTCTGCTCTTATTTACGTTTGTACTGTTCCTGCTGCCCTCTCTCTTCGTCTCTTTGCTGCAAGTGCAATGCATGATGGAATATATTGCTCAGTTTGTGACAATCAGTTGTACATTACAATGTTTCTCCTGTAGAGGGTATAAAATACAGTACTTCACTAAACATTCGGACAGCACTACATACTGGAAAACACTAAATAGTGAACCCTGCAGGGATTGTTGAGGGAATGTTTTTTCTTTTGCTGTAAGTTTCCATGTCTCCACTCTTGTTGTAAAACAGAGCTTCTGATAAACAGAAGGAGCGTTTTATCAAAATGCATCACAACTATTAGCAACTAGCTTCATTTGAATTCAAAGGTCTTGATTCTCATGACTGTGAAACAATCATAATACAGGATTCTACATTTTATGGTTCTGTTATTTTATTCTATATCTTAATGGGCCAAAATACTTTATTAACCAAAGAGAAAAAGAACCATATGGCATGTAAGAAAATAATACATGGAAAATACCACCAAAACCATGCAGCTGAAAAGCACTTTTTCAACTGACTTCAAGCACTATCATATTTAGAGATGTTGTGGATTAATCTTTATTCAGGGCTCAGAGGCTGAATGAACATAAAGAAAAATGTGGTCTGCACTCATTCCATCTCATGTTCTATTTTTTCTACAAAGACTAAATCCTAAAGGATTCCCTAAACATCATAGTTTTTATTTTGGGACAATAAACAGCTTTGTTTGACCATTGCATGTTCAGACCTGCAAAAGCTTCAGCAACATGTCACTGGACTCTGTATGCAGGGTATTCTGAATTATTGGTGACAGTTATAATACATTTACAAAGGCTATTTTAGAACTGAAATGAAAATGTGAAATTCTTATGTAAAAACTTGTTCTATGTGACAATTGTATTATAGAGGTTATTGGAGGTCAACATGCTCTTTAGGTGGTCTCATTTGGTGATGTATATTTTGTGCTTCTCATCAGAATCTGCCTGAATCAAACCCAGTGCGAATGGAAGAGACGAGGAGAAGGAATGCTCTGGTGATGCAAGCACTAAAGGAGGCTGCAGAAACCAATGACAACATTGCAAGAGAAATGCCAGGAACTTGGAAATAGACCTGTTGACAAACCCTCCATTTATTGAATGCGGATGACATACAAGGCCTCCGACTGTTCCAATAAAGATGGACATTGTATTATTTTACTCAGAGGTTGTTGTCTGATTTGCTGATCTAATGTTTGTATTCTTATCACTGGGTGTTGAAATTGTTTAGTAAAACTCTCTAAATACAAAATGCTTTACTTTACTCTCTCTACTCACCACTATGCAGATGGAGGGGGGGGGGGGGTGAAGTGTTTCAGTCCACAAAACACTTCTGGAGTCTCAGAACTAAACTTTTTAACAGCGAATACATTTGAAGTAACTGGTGACCAAGACTTCAGAGGTAATGAAACAACTGAAAAAACACAACATGCCTCCATACTGCTCGTGTGGTGTCCTCCAAGTGTCCACAAGCCCCGACATTTTTATTCAACTCGAAACAAGGTCATTTACACTGTATTAAGCCTAAAAGTAAGAAGCCGGAAGTGGCTAAGCTAGCATGATGTGCACAAATGTTTGTGAATGCACCTCATAGGAAGATATCAGCAGACATTTATGCTTAATACATGGTGTAAATGATGCTATTTTGAGTTGAATATGAATTTTAAGGCTTGCAGACACTTTGATGACACATGTTTTGCGGACTCAAACAATTAACCCACCCCTCCTTCGGCATGGCCGTGAGTAGATACTGAGTGAATTTTCATTTTCAATGAGTGTCTGTTGAAGTGTTTGGGTCAAAGACAAAGTCAGTCACTGGCTGCAGAGGATTTCAAACAAATGATGAATTCTTAGTATGACTTTGACATGTGCACCTGTCTAGTTATACGTAGGTTGCCATGTGTTATGAGGGCTTTACTTCTTCAACACAGTCTTTAATAATATTAATCCACTCAAAGTAAAGCCGAGACTTGGTACTTAGAATTCAGTATTTTATTTTAAATTGAATTTGCTGAAACTCAGAGCCTACAGAACAAGACATGTTCCACAATTATATATGAGGTTCTGTTTTAAACCATTTCACGAAAAGCTGAACGAATTGCTTTGATTATTGACAACATGACATGAGTTTGGATGATAATCATCTTCTCCTATTGTGCAAAAGTTATCACTTAATAGCACTTTTCCAATAAAGCATATCCAGACTGTACCCCCATTAGAAAGCATTTAGTGTGAGAGGTGGTAGAATATGGCAAGTCTCACACATTGTACTGTCAGCTCCAAATTAGTCTAATAGATCTTTGTCCGACGTCGTCAACTGAACCCCATAAGGTACAAATAGAACTGTCACTCAGACTACACCCAGACTGGACTTCCAACAACGCTGAACACGTCATCTGAAAAAATGATCGAGTAAAACATTGATGGATTTTTTAGTAGAAATACTGTAAATAATCCCAATAAGGAAGTGACTAAGATAACTAAAATATCAAAGAAACTAATTGGATCAGTCCAGGAGTCAGAGGCTGACTATCAGAAAGTGGGAGGTTCAGTTATTTTACCTGCTGCAATGTTTCAGACCACATGAGTTTGAGTGGACATGAAAGAACATGCTTCCATATTCTACAGCATAAAAAGTAACATAATGTTTTTTATTTATTTATTCAACTTACTTATGTGTGGTTATGCTTTGTGATTTAAATAATAAATTCACAAAACTCCCAAACTACCAAACTGAGTCCTTTATGAGCAACATCTGCACCCCTGCTCATTCATACAATCAGCCAATCACATGTCAGCAGCTCAGTGTATATTATCCTGCAGATACAGAACAGGAGCTTGAGTTAATGTTCACATCAAACATCAGAATGATGATCAGAATGATTTATTAATGGGGAAGGTTCTTTTTTAATGCACTATCTATTGATCTGAATCAATAATCACTGGTGTTTATTTAAGGTATGGAATGATTATTTTATTAGCTTAAATACAAAAATGCCCATATGGAGGGAGATACATCCCAATCTAACACAGGTTTCGAGTTCAGCCAAATGTCAAATTTCAGGAATCACTGCTTATGTCTCTGGTGTCAACTGATCACTGCCTTATTATTATTGGGACTATTTGTTAATTTCTGAGGTTGGAATGAAATTGTGTCCAAGACTCTAAGTGAACAAAAGCTCTATTCTGAATAATACTCATCACATATTTTCAGATTTGGAGCATTTCCTCAAAGATCAGAGACTTATTTCTGTCCTTCTGTCCTCTGTCTGTATTTTTCAAGCCTTGGACAATTTTGGTTTTGGTACGGGGTTTGTTAATCTAGTGAAAACGATACATCATTATGTACATTATTAAGTTTTCTCTCATTTGGCACTAATGGGTATAAAAGATTTGTGGATGTGGGATCAGTCAAGGCTGCTCTTTTCATCCATGTTAATTTTTTTAAGTGGCTGAACTAAATGTTTAAAATGACACAGACATCCAGCCTTTAAACATTGTGGGTTCCCTTGTAAATAAGGAGATACAACCTGCTTTCTCAGGGGCCTCTGAGTCAAGCGTTTGGAAATGACAGTATAGCTAAAGTTTGTGTTTAACATGTGGTTACAAACAGGCAGGATACTGCTTTATCTTTCTGCCAGTTTCAGAACTTTTTATCAATCTGACTGAACAGAGTTATTATGTCTCGAATTAACAAACTTATTTAAAAGAACACGTCAGTCTATTTAATCTTTTTGGAACAATTGATGTAATCCTATAATAAGAAAATCTCTCTTTGAATAGGACTGAATGTTTGGTTAATGGACGGTGAGATATCTTAACATTGTGACTCCAGTAGCAAAACTGAAAGGGAAGCCCAAACACAGACACACAAAGACAGGCTGATGCAGTGAAGTGGTATTTAACTGTATTTAATACGTGAATAAACTGGCAGGTAGGTGGATGGGCAGACAGAACAGTATGAAGCAAGAACAAAGGCAATGACACAAAAAACACGAGGAAACAGACACGTGATCTGATCAGGCATGTGGTGACAAGTGTGTAGCATATGTACTGACTGCTGTGATGGGAAAACTAGGGAGTCTTGCAAATGTAGATAATAAACAGATTTGGGTCGTTGGGTGAAGAGAAAGGAAAAAAGCCCAGGGACATCTGGTGACTTAATGGAAAATGTAGGGTCCGTGGAGATTAGAGATCAGAGGCTGGAGAGAGAAGGAGGGAGGGAATCAGACAGATAAGATCCTGACAACATATGTGCTACAGGTGTAACTGATGCCCCTTTGTTTGGTTTGATCAAAGCGGTATGCCATCTTGTTCTCTGGGTCTTGTGTCCCAGATGTTTTGATCTGGGATTACAACCTCTACATGTATGGCTGTCCTCGAAAAACTAATTCTTAACTTCCAACAGAGTAACATGGCTTTACAGCACAAAAGACTGACTATCTCATGAGAAATTTGATCCTGCTGGGTTACAAATGATCTTGATGGCTACTGATGATCTAATGTGCTCAGTCCTTGTTCCTCCAGATGAAAGAACGTTTGATCCCTGCATCCTGATGGAGAGGCTGAGGGTTGGATGGGTCAGTTTTAGGACCAATTAGAATTGTTGCACATGCTTCCCCTTATACATAACATTGAATGACATAGTATTTCCTTTCATTGCTATGCTGACAGAGTCACTGACCCTAGATCACTAAGTCCACTTCATAACTGCCTTGGTGATGACAAACTCTGGATGACACAAAACGTCAGGCCAAAAGAGATTGTTGAAATCGGTTCCCAGATCATAACAGAACAAATACTGCCATCTGTTGGTTTTCTGTTAGAACATACCAAGCCTGCTGCTATCTGGTTTGACAGTTTTGAACAGCACACAAACAAAGCCTACTGGTTTTACCATCTAAAAAACTCCAAAATGTAATCTATGTTATCTTTCAAAGACCATGACCTTGCCCCATATGACCTCTTTACTTATGCAGTTCTTATCTTGAGATCCTTATTCAGGGGTCAGAGGTGACGGAGCACTAAGAGCTGAAGAAAGAATTACCTCTTTTAAATCTCTCCTTACATATTTTACACAAAGCTTTTCCTGATTTTTAATTACATTTATTATGA